CCCTTAGCTGGTAGCTATACAGTTATCCTCTAAAAATCCACCAGAGGAGGGCACAAAACACATGTTGGACAGTGAATTACAAAAGTGCCAAATATTATTATTAGACCTGCAATACTTTTCACAATGAACATCAGCAGGGGATAAACTGGGAGTTTAAGAATATTTGGAAAACAATTTTAGAATAACATTCAGTGCTGTGGTTTAAAAGAAAAAAAAACCTGTTAAAACTCATAACTTAGCAGTATTCAGTGTTTGGAAAAAAAAAAAAAACTTTTAGGAGCTATGGGATACAAGTTAAGAATGTTGAAACAGGAAGATGTTATGCTTAGTTACCACTTGGGCAAGGCGGCGTGCTATGTAATACTTGCAAGATTTCACTGTAATGTTTTACAATATATAGCAGCGCAATGCTGATTCCATTGATATTGTTGAACAATTCATGCTGATTTTATTTCAGCCCACATCTTAATAGTTTTGAATACTATAGATCACAATTTTCAGCTCAGTTGGTCTGAACATGCAGAGCTTTAAAACTGCTATGCTCTAAACTGTATATTAACTACAATTTTATAAACCTGCATGTCAGAGAACTGTGTGCCACTACTACTAGACAGTGGCACAAGGCAATTCAGTGTGAATCACAGAAATGTAGGACTGGAAGGGACATCAACAGGTCATCTAGTCAAACCCCTGCACTGAGGCAAGACTGAGTAATAACAACACTAGACCATCCTTGACAGGTGTTTGTCTAACCTCTTAAAAAACTCCAATGACTGCTATTCCATAACCTCTCTAGGTAATTTGTCCAGTGCTTAACTATCTTTACAGTTAGGAAGTTTTTCCTAATGTCTAACGTAAATCTCCCTTGCTACAATTTAAGCCCATTGCTGCTTTTTCCTGCATGTCCTGAGTGGGACGGGGGTGAGTCCAGGCAGTGGGATTGGGGGGAGGGAGGGCGAGGAAGTCAGTGGGTGTGTGGGGATGGACCAGGGGAAGCAGGGTGGAGGAACTGAGGGGGACAGGACTGGGACTGGGGGAGTTGAGGGGGCTGAGAGGGATGGGACAGGACTGGGATGGGGGGAGTAGGGTAGGGGCTGAGGGGAGCATGAATGGGACAGGGTAGAGAGCTGTGTAGAGTGGGGCAGGGCGGGGGAGACAATGGGGCTGGGCTGGGGAGGGTCGGGGGGTTGGGGAGAGGGACAGGATCTGGAGGGGATGAGACAGGGGAGCAGGACTGGAATGGGGGGAAGTTGAGGGGGTGGGACAGCCGGGGGAGTGATGGGGGTGGGATGACGGGAGAGGCTGAAGAAGAGATTTGGGGTAGGGCAGGGACTGAGGGCAGTGGGTTTGGGGTGGGAGGTACAGGGGGAACTGCGGGGGAGGCTGAGGGAACAGGGTCAGGGTGGGGGCTGAGGGCAGTGGATTGAGGTTGGGGGGCACAGGGGGGACTGCGGGGGAGGCTGAGGGAACAGGGTCAGGGTGGGGCCTGAGGGCAGTGGGCCTGAGGGGAGCCCCCCCAGAGGGACCTGCCAGGGGGCCAGGTGAGTCCAGCAGTGCTTACCTGGAGCGGCTCCCAGGAAGCATCCAGCAGGCAGGTCCCTCCCAGTCCCTCTGGCCCCTTCCTAGGGTCGGGTCGAGGGGAGGAGGGCAGGGGCGGGGGTGGGGGCGGCGGGGGGGGCTCTCTGCCCGGTGACCACTCCCTGCTGCCGGAGTCTACAGGCCCCGCACCGCTGCAGCACGCAGGGGAGCGAGACCTCCTCGCTGCCTCTCTGTGTGCCGGGGCAGGGGCAGGACTGTGCTGTGCTCTGCAGGCTCCTGCCGGCCAGGCGGGGGGCCCCGTGGGCTGGCACCGCCGCGCCGGGAGCTCACTGCGCGCTGCCCCAGGGCCCAGGGAGGGAAGGTGAGTGGCGCCGGCTTGCTGCGGTCCCCCTCATATAGGATGACCAGACGTCCTGACCAATGTACGGTCGGGATGTGGGACAAGTCCCCTAAAATCGGGACAAGTCCCTTAAAATCGGGACTGTCCCGATAATATCGGGACGTCTGGTCACCCTATCTGGAAACATCTGCTCCATGTGCTGCACCATTCAAAAAAAGCTGACAAAAAACGTTAGGAAGCATTAGGAAAGGGATAGATAATAAGTAAGGCTACAATTTTGTCATAGATATTTTTAGTAAAAGTCATGGACAGGTAACGGGCAATGAAAAAAATTCACAGAAGCAGTGACCTGTCTCTGACTTTTACTAAAACATCCCTGACAAAATGAGGAGGGAGGAGTGTCCAGCACCCTGCCCTGTGACTTCCGCAACTTCTGTGACATGCTCGTAGTCTTAATAATAAGACAGAAAATATCATAATGCCACTATATAAATCCATGGTACGCCTGCACCTTGAATACTGCATGCAGTCCTGGTCACCCCATCTCAAAAAAGATATGTTAGAATTGGAAAAAGTACAGGGAAAGGCAACAAAAATGATTGAGGAGAGATTAAAAAGACTGGGACTAGTCATTTTAGAAAAAAAATGACGGGCGGGGGGACTATGACAGAGGTCAATAAGCAGAGCCGTCCCTTGAGTACTGCGAATCGGGGCGACTGCTTCGGGCCCCGCGCTGTGGGGGCACTGCGGGCCGGTGCAATTGGCCGGCGCGGTCGGTCCCAGAAGTGACAAATTCGTCACTTCCGCCCCTGGCCTTTCTGTATGGTATGCTTTAGTCAGACAAAAGTTACTGGGCTTACTAAAGAGTAACGGTGAAATTCTGTGACCTGTTGTTATGTATGAGGTCAGACTACATGATGTAATGGCCCCTTCTGGCCTTAAACCATAAGAATCTATCTATATGGGGACATATTTCTGATAGTAGAGGGCTCTTTAATCTAGCAGATTAAGGCATCATAAAATCCAGTCGCTGAAATCTGAAGTGAAACAAACTGAGACTAGAAATAAAGAACAGATCTTTAACAATGAGGGGAATTAACCACTGGAACAGCATACTAATTCATGTGGTGAATTCTTTATCATTTGAAGTCTTTAAACCAAGACTGGTTACCTTTCTAGAAGACATGCTACAGTTAAAACAGAAGTTGTGGACTTGATGCAGAAATTATTATAGGTTTTTGACCTCTGTTTTCAAGGGAGCCAGAGTGGATGGTCATAATGGTCCCTCCTGGTTTAAAATCTGAGTCAAATGCATGCACAGTTGACCTTTCTCTGCTGTGAAACATCATATATACTTCCATTTCTAGTTTGTTGTTTAATGACAGTGTCATATACACTTTGAATAGTTGGAGTAATTAGTCTACATAATCCTGTCTTCAGTTTTTCATTAATATATTTGACATTTTCATAATGCTGTTCCTTCATGTTCCAAGGTAAATTAAAATCCCAAACAAAAACAACTTCCATCTATCCACCGCCACTTCCCCCAAAACTATAATATATAATATTAAGAGTATTCTATACTCAATTAAAAAAATCCGAGATGAAAGCATCTGACTAAACAAGTCTGGAAAAAGTAAGCTTTCAGTTCAGATCTAGCAGTTCCATGATTGCTCATGATGCTGTACAGGAGAGCCTTTATTGCTCATTGAAGAAGTACTGAATATATTTTGGAAAGGCATCCGGAATGAAGAGAACAATTTCATTAGCTTTTACCGTCTAAGTAAAAGCAGAGTCCTGTTTGTTAAGATGTATGTCAGGAAGTAGACAAATTACATTGCATATGTACTGATGTCTCATTAAAGTTATGAAAAATCCTCAGGAAAATCATAAAACAGACAATATTGGACTTGTATAAGAGCTGTGTATAAGTGGCACTGTAAGTGTGTAGGCTGAAGATGAATTTTGTTTAAACTTGAAAGCATAGCTGGTTGTAATGGGGATTTGATTTTGGATACAGTTATAGCTGGAGAGGTTCTTGGAATAACTTTGTATCAAAGGATTGCGACATGAATGGTGCAGTGAATTTCTGATGCACCTGAACATGCAATTACCATTAGTAAAATAATGTTGCAAAAGACCTGTTCCTGCTAGTTAATAGGAATTGCACTTGTAATATTGCAGGATGTTTGATCTATTCTCTGTGAACCAAACCACAAATTAAATTATTAATTAAAAATGGGATTAAAGAAAATATTGGAGAATTAAATCACTATATACACTGAGTGATGGGTGTTTTCTCAAATATAAAATTCCTCTAAACCAATTAATCTTTGGAAAACATTTTTCTTAATTGCTCTACAATGAGTAGAGATTCCTCTGTACAATTTCATAGAAGTATATTGATTAGTTAACGTGAAATTGTTATCTTGAACTGCATGGCATTGTTGTGATCTAGGAGTTTCTGAATTGGTCAAACAGGATGAGGATCAGTGTGCAGAGTGTAAAAGAACAAACAGTATTAATAATTAGCATTTTAAGAGCTCATTAATCTAATGTAGAAATACATTTTTATAAAAAGTTTAGGAATGGTTATTTAGTTTTAAATTTGAGTGTAAATTTACATATAATGCCAACACTTAGTCTTATAAAGTCCTGTAATACTCCAACACATTTTTATCATGGCATAAATGTATTCTCTTGCAAACTGATTGTGGGCAGCACATTAATACTGAACTGGTGTATCTAAGAAGCCTTTATTCATAAAATACTTTGACAGTGAATCAACATTGATCAGAAATTTTAAGTGAGAATGCTAGTTGCTGTTTACTTTATATTTTTTATGGAAGAATAAATCGGGTTTTGGAATTCCTGAGGCTACAATCTAAGCAATGTAATATTAACAAGAACAAAACATCAGTCTGCCATTTTGTAAATTATATAGAAATTCTCTGCTTCCCCCCTCCTTGGAAATTGTTCATTTACTCTCAGTCACTTTTTGGAGGTTCAATATATCTTTTAACTGAAATATTGCAGTTCAGTTGTACTGTTTTTAAAATGTCTGATTTCATAATAAATTATAAGGTCAATTTACTATCTACTTCTTCTTGCTTGGTTCTAGCTGGAAGGTCACAATGAGGCAGTAGTTCTGCAAGTGTTTGTGGGTAATGACTCTGGTCGAGTGAAGCCACATGGGTTCTACCAGGCCTGCAGAGTAACGGGGCGAAACACTACTCCCTGCAAAGAGGTGGACATAGAGGGTACTACGGTTATAGAGGTTGGCCTTGACCCTGGCAACAACATGACACTTGCGTAAGTAATTCTTTTTGGATTGCACTGTTTTTCTGGGATGAAACAGTAAGACGGGTTCTCAAATGGTTTCTCAAACCCCCTTAGGGGGTTGCAAGGTTATTACGCAGGGGTTGCGAGCTATCAGGCTCTAACCCCAAACCAAGCTTTGCCTCCAGCATTTATAATAGTGTTAAATATAAAAAAATTTGTTTTTGATGTATAAAGGAGATCGCACTCTGAGGCTTGCTGTGTGAAAGGGGTCACCAATACAAAAGTTTGAAAACCACTGCAGTAAGAGTTGCTTTTGCTTCAGGAATCAAGTTTGAAGGTGTAATTTGATGTTATCAGAGGGGTAGCCGTATTGGTCTGTATCCACAAAAACAACGAGGAGTCCGGTGGCACCTTAAAGACTAAGAGATTTATTTGGGCATAAATCTGAAGAAGTGGATTTTTTACCCACGAAAGCTTATGCCCAAATAAATCTGTTAGTCTTTAAGGTGCCACCGGACTCCTCATTATTTTTGTTAATTTGATGCTGTTATCTTACCGGGCAAAGAGGAATCTGTTTCTTATTCCTGATATTTCTTTATTACAACAGAGATTTTAAGAACAGGAAGTGAGTAGAGACAGTTGTCCCAATTTGTACTTAAGAAAACTTAAGGGTTGATTAAGAGGATCAGTTTCCAAATTGTTGTTGTCAATGCCACCTCCCCCTGCTTCTTTAAATGTATTGGAAATATCACTAGAATTTTTTTTTTTTTTAAAGTAGATCAGATTCATTACCAATACTGGCTTCTTTATTTTATCCCTTCTTATGCAACTGGCATTTTTTAATGACAGCCCCATGAGATAACACAAAATGCCATGCACACCTCTGAAGACATGGTCTGCAGCTGTATCCTTATCTGACTGGTTACTAAGAGCTGTGTGTATATATATGGGGCCTACAGTTACTGTCAATCTCTGTTCTTTTATTCCAAAATTTGGCTCATTACAAAGAAGATGATCAGCTGTTTTGTGATACTAGTTTTTCTTGGCCATTGTCCTTCTGTTTTCAATAAAGATTTTTAGGCAGGAAATGATTTTTCTGGTGTTATGTCTCATTCTGACTTTTTCTTCATATGATAGCTTGAGCATTTCTCAAACCACTTCACTGTCTATAAGACTATTCACTACAATTATTACTGTTGAGTGATTATCTCCTTGCAAAGACTCCATTCAGTAATCTGACTTTCTTTCTCTCCAGTAGAAGAGCAAGCTTTCAATGTTAAGGGAGTTGGTTTATTCCGCCCCAACACTCCCCACTTTTCAAAGCAATCTTAGTAATAGGTATGCTAAACTAAGTATTGTTTGGCCATAAGAGAAGCCTTCACATCCATGTACTTTGTCTGTAGAAGATATCTAACAATTGTATATGCATCTTAGACCATATATTCTCTTTGAGTAGTGTCCCTATGGGTTCTCCACTGTAGGTGTATTTGCGCCCCTGAACCTCTAGTCCGAGATTTTAGGTAGCAGTGGCTGTTCAGCCCATGTGTGCGTCCTCCCTCCCTTCCTCCCTTGTGGTCTGCCTCGAGGCTATCTAGTGCTGCGCGGGCGAACCGCCTTTGGCCTCAAATGGCATGAGCAGTAGTCTCTTCCTTCTTGATAGCATTTAGTATAAATAGTAGCTATGCTTGGAGTTTTTTGTTTCCTTTTAGTAGTTAGTTTCTGTTTTTCCATTCTAAGAAAAGAGAAATTTTTCTTTTAAATTTTTCCCGCGTTTTTTGTGGGCAATCACCTGCTTGGTTCCCCCACCTTCACAAGGTGCCTCTCCTGCAATGGGGCAATTCTAGTAACGGACGGGCATTCTCATTGTGTCTGTTGTCTTGGAGAGGCACTTATTCTGCAGAAGTTCACAGAGATGAGGTGACATCTCATAAGAACCAGGAGCTCAAGTTAAAACTTCTCTTCATGGAGGGTGCACTCCAACCACCAGCTGACCCCAGTCCTGACACCTCTCCAAGACAGAGATCATCCCCAGAACCTTGATCCTGCAGAGGGATAGAATTGCAAAAAAAAGTCGGCTGATTCTCCCCTGCAAAGCCGCTAGAAAACGGGCTCTGAGCCCTTAAACCTAGTTGTTGGCCAGCCAGAGGGGATCCCCAGTGTGTTCGCCTACCTCAGTCAATATCACTGACTCCCCGGTACTGCCTAAGGACCCCATGGGCAGTGGCTTGGAAGCAATGGCCCCGCCTCCCAGAGATAAAGACAGAAATTGTACCACCTCTAAAAGATAGGCACTGACAAAACCATCTTCGGCACTGAGTGTGTCAAAGCAACCCTTATTGGAGATTCCTCACATAAACAACAATCTGTACCGACAAGTCAGCACTGGCACTCCTTGATGGTACTGAGTGTATCAATGATACCTCAGGAGTTCCATTTCTTGGGGGACCTTGTGGTTGTGGAAGAACTGGAATCCCCACTACTTGGTACCAGGGTCCAAGTACCAAGCACATCTAGGTATCACCACAGGCACTGGGCCATTTGCTCTCAGAACCCCAGTCAGCACCACCCTTTTCCAGCAAGGAGTCGGGCAGTGAGCAGGATGATTATCTTTCTCTGGCCTCACAGCGTGGCCCACCATTACAACAGCGGGACTTCCCCAATTGCCAGGGTCGGCTCCAGGCACCAGCATAGCAAGCAGGTGCCTGGGGCAGCCAATGAAGAGGGGGGCGGCAAGTCCGGCCGTTCGGTGGCAATTCGGCGGCGGGGCCGTCACTCCCTCTCGGAGCGAAGGACCTGCCGCCGAATTGCCGCCGTAGAATGAAGCAGCGGCGGTAGAGCTGCTGCCGATCGCGATCACGGCTTCTCTCCCACCCCCCCTACCCCCGCGCTTTGGCCGGCAAAAACGCTAGAGCCAGCCCTGCCAATTGCACCCTTGTTCCAACCCTCAAGCCTGGTACTGTCTGCCATCTGTGGGGACTACCATGACCACCCATGCCCTCCTCCCCCTCAGTGCCTGTATTGGGATCCATGGGCAATGTACAGATCCCACACTTTACAAGCATTAGGTGTCTCTCAGAGAGAGTCCACCAGACATTTCCCCTATGGCTTCAATGTCCAGAGCCCCGGAACCTGAGAGAGAAACTTTTGAGGGGCAGGAAGCCAAGCTCAAAGCAAAGACTATCCCACCAGCAAACATCTCCTCCTCCTCCTACTCCTCCTCACCAAATAAGGCTGTGATGCCCCTTCCTCCAGTGCTGGCAGATGATTTAGACTCTTTCCGGACCTTACTAGCAGATGAGCTTCAAATTCCCTTACAGAAGGTGACAGACTCATATCACAAGCTGGTGAATATTCTCCACATTTCCTCCTCCTCCTCCAGAATTGCCCTCGCAATTAACGAGGTGCTTCTGGACCCTGCCAAATTAATCTGGCAGCCGCCAGCCGCCATTGCACTGACGTGTAAAAGAATCTATAAGAATTGTTACGTTCTCTCACCTACCCCCTCCCAAGGAGGCAGACCTCACTTCCTCTTTACTCACCCTCAACCTAACTCTATAGTAATGGATGTGGTTAACACACGGGGAAAGCAACATCATGCCAAGTCAACCCCATATGATAGAGATTGGAAGAGGCTAGACCTTTTGGGAGGAAGGCACACTCGTCAGCAACATTACAATTCAGGGTCTCAAACTACTAAGCTATAATGGCTAAGTTTAACTATGTAAATTATGGGTAACTCAATACGTTTATTGATCACTTGCCAGAGGAGCAAAAAGAACAATTTCAGGTCATTGTCAAAGAGGGGCAGTTAATAGCCAGAACAGCACTACAGATGGCACTGGATGCTGCAGACACAGTGACCCGCTCAGTCTCGATGGCAGCCGTAATGAGGCGGGCATCCTGGTTACACCTTTCGGGGTTGCCCAAGGAAGTGCAAATGACAGTCGAGGACCTGCTGTTTGAAGGTCCCAAACTCTTCGCTGGTAAGACTGACCCATGATTCCACACATTAAAGGATTCCAGAGCCACGCTATGCTCCCTGGGAATCTACACAGCTGGACAGATGAGAAAATAGGGCTCACAACCACCTCACAGATCCCAAACACCTCAGTTCCCACCGTCACAGTGGTATTACAAGCTGCAACATAAGAGATCCAGGATGCAAAAGTGGAAGCCATCAGCTTCCTGATCCTCTATCTCTCAACCCTTGTCCTCTTAAGCACCAGTTTTGATGCTTTGGTCAGGGCCCTGAACAACCATTCCTTGCGACAACGGCAATTGCTATCTATAGACCTACCACGTCCCTTTGGAAGTCACTTGACTCTTCCATAGGAGTTGGGAGAACATCACCTCGGACAAATGAGTCTTGGAGATTATTTTGAAGGGTTACACCATCCACTTCACATCCCTCCCCGACTCCCACCGTCTCTTCAGGGACCCTTCTCACGAGAGTCTACTCCATCAAGAAGTAGATCTGATATGCATTGGGGCCATAGAACCAGTCCCTACTCTCCTCACAGGCTAGGGATTTTACTCCCGATATTTCCTGATCCCCAAGGCAAAGGGAGACTGGAGACCCATACTAGGTCTAAGGGTGCTAAACAGATATGTGACGGTGCAAAAGTTCAAGATGGTCACACGAGCAGCCATTATTCCAACTCTGGAGCAAGGAGATTGGTTTTCGCCGTCGACCTACAAGATGCCCACTTCCACATTTCAATCTGACAGTCTCACAGGAAATTCCTTTAATTTACATTTGGGCGGAACCATTATCAGTACAGAGTGCTCCCATTTGGCCTCTTGTCCACACCCAGAATATTCTCCAAGGTTCTCTCCTTCGTAGAAGTGCACCTGCCAACATTGGGTGTTGTAATCTACCCATGCATGTAGGACTGCCTCAGGGCTTCTTCATTCGAAGACACCTTGCAGGCCACCCAGACGACTATGCACATATTTGCGCAACAGAGTCTACAGCTCAACACACAGAATTCAATCTTGACCCCAGTGCAGAGCCTGGAGTTTATTGGGGCCGAACTCAACGTAGCACAAGCAAGAGTTTTCCTCCCGCTTCACAGATTTACCACCCTCACGAGTCTCATAGAGCAGTCCAAGCCAGCCCACAAACATCAACCAGGAATTGCCTGCAGCTTCTTGGGCACATCGCAGCATGCACATTCATGACTCCACACTCCCTGTTGTTCATGAGGTGTCTGCAGATGTGGTTCAATCTGTCTACTCTCCGAACAAGGCCAGACTAAGCAAGCCACTATCAATGCCCTCCACTGTCAAACACTCCCATGACTGGTGGAAAGAACCATTCAATGTCCAAGCATCTCTGTTCATACAGCCTCCACCGACGCAAATTTGAGCAACAGACTCCTTTCTAATAAGCTGGGGAGCCCTCCTAAATGACCGCAAGATCTAAGGCAAGTGGTCTCCCATGGAAGCAGTTCTCCATATCAATCTTTTGAAATTAAGAGCCATCAGAAACACCTGTGCACCTTTTCTTCGATTCATCAGAAACACACAAAGGTAATGATGGACAATATAACCTGCATGTCAGAACTAAGATCTTTCATAACTACTACAGTCTCTTCCATGTAATGAAAAGTGAGGGGGTTATTCCATGTCTAAGGAACGCCTTTCTAAATAGCTGGTGAAGTGTCATGCAGAGTGCTGCTGGCCCACATCTGATATTGTGTAGGGCCCTTTTTACTAAGGGCACACATGCATCTACTACTTATTTATTTGTATTACTCTAGCAGCTAAGGGCCGTAGTCATGGACCAGGGCCCCTTTGTGTTAGGCACTGCACATTTGCTTGCACCAGTTTCCAGTAGCCATAAGTCAACCATGTGAGTATGTGAAGTTTCTTCGTGCTTTCAGCCAAGGCATTACTGTCTTGGTAAAGAAGCTTAGAGTGGAGATAGAATTTTGGTAAAGTAGCCCTTCATATCCCTAGTTTGCATTACTCCCTCAGAACTAGCTTTTCAGTCTCCAAGAGTGGGGGAATGGGGATCTGCAGAGGCAGATTGAGTGGCTGGCAGAGTTAATATGGAGTAAATTGAAGTTCTCTAGGTTTGCAGTCTTCATAGTTTCTCACTACTTTTTCCCTTGCTTCTTCATCTCCTGGACAAAGCAGGCAGGGATGAGAAGAGGGTAGGGTGATATAACTCACTTAGAGATGTGTTTTCAGTGCCCTGTCATGTGTTAAGGCACATGAACTGCTTTGGACTCTAACTGCATTTAAAAAATTCTGACTCTGTTGCACGGTAAACAAATCTGAATGGATTTATTGAGATGGTAAACCTACTGAACTCCAGGTTCTGGTAAGTTTTATAGTTGCAGTTTTGGAAGTCCTACTGGATTACTAACTCTAATGTTGTGTGTTGCTAGGGTTGATTGTGTAGGAATACTGAAGTTGAGAAATGCAGACGTTGAAGCTCGAATAGGGATTGCTGGTTCCAAGAAAAAAAGCACCCGTGCCAGATTGGTGTTTCGTGTAAACATCACTCGGAAAGATGGCTCAACTTTAACGCTCCAGACACCCTCCTCTCCAATTTTATGCAGTAAGTAGCAAAGTAAAAATTGGAATCGGAGGAAGCTGGGTTTTAATCTGATTTAAATCACTGACTCACTGTGTTGCCTCAGGGCAAGTCATCTATAAACCTCTTTGTGCTTCATTTAATCCAGCTATAATATTCTGTGTTAAACAAAACAAACAAAATCCACCAACACAAAAATCTTGTTAAACCTAGAGTTGAAATTTCCTTGGAACATTGTCAGGTTTTTTTTAATCCTTTTTAGGTCATAATTTCCTGATTTGTAATTAAGCCACATGCTGGTTTTGAAAGTTGAAACATTTTTGACCACATTGCCTTGAGCTGATCACAAAATGAAATAACCTTTTCTGCTACAGGCTGTTAACATCATTGTTATATTGTAAATGTAGTTGTCGCCGCCCAGCTTTCAGGAGTAGAAGTGGGTAAACAGCTTTGTAAAGTTATAGCAGTTCATCAGGTCAGAAGTTAGTTCAGTTCTGATTAAGACAATGGAAAATTAATTTTTTTTACCACTGAATGTTAGGATGTTCTGTTTGGCTTTGAAAACACGTGTGGGATGAAGATTTGTATTAAAGTGAACAGTATGGGAGACAAAACCATAGGTTGCAGCAGAAGGTTAGAGGCTCTTACCCCATATGGAGTCAGTCCCAGAGATGTCAGTACTAGAATGGAGGGATGTCTTTTATTCTCCGTTCCTTGTGCAACCTCTCCCTCCCGGGAGCCACCACCAGTGGGGGTAGCAAGAGGGTTGGGGGAGCTTCTTCCCTTCCTCCCAGCAGGAAAGGATCCTTGGGACCATGGAGAGTAAGAGCATCCATACGTTTTTGCATTTTTCTTTTTCTTTCATTCTCTCTCCACAACTTTTTATTGTGTTTGGAGGTCTGAGATCCTAAATACTTCAGGTCTCTTAAATGGGAAATAAACTGAATGTTGTATGAAAACAAAAGTTTGCCTTAACTGTACCAAATATAGAGGGAGAAGGGAGAAAGATTTGATTATGTTACATTAATGCCAATATATTAACTATTTAAAGACTACCACTACCTAGTTGTATGCAAATTTAGTTACATACATATAATGTAAATAACTTTTGTATACTTATCTGTAGTTTTATAAACAAGTGCATCAAAATAATGGATCAAATATGCCATGGAAAAAACAAACTCAATACAAAGAACATTTCCTTGTTTTTGGCATGAAGTCTGTAACCTTATTTCATTTTCCTGTTTTTCTCACCTTTCCCTTTAACAGAAGCATTACTATTCTTAACCTTTAGCCTACCAAGTAGCACTAATGAACATACAGGATGATAGTGGCATATCAATTATATTGAGTTACTTTTTGCTTATAAACCTATACTTCTGGTATGTTAACAATGTGACTTGTTTGCAATGTACCTTTTACTTCACTTGTATGTACTTTCATTTCTTAAGATAAAGCTTAAAAATGTTCTTGTTTAATTGTATAGGGCTGTGTAGCTGGAAGCTGCTGGTATATCCGTGAGAGTGCCAGCAGTGTCCTTGGTACTGTAGAATGCACGCAAGTAGGCACATTCACTACCCTGAGGAGTTCAGAATCCAAATAGTTTTGATGTATAATACGAAGCATAAATCAATTAAAACATTTCTAAACACTGTTTTTGCCTTGATTTAGTCAAAAGATATTTAATGATTACCTAGCAAACCAATGTAACCCTTGTAGAAAAGGTCCTTTTTAAAAGGTCAAAAGTAAAATGATTTGGAGTGGTCACAGTCTAGTTCCTTGTATATAATTAATATGTAGAAGACTAATATGAACCCTCAAAATAGGCCTCATTTGGCAACCTTATGCCACCAAGGTCTTAAACTGTGAGTAGAAAAGGTGGTAGGAAATCTATTGGGAAGTGGAATTTCATATAAATTATAAAAAATAGAGGTTTACAGTCAAAGTGCTATTTTAAAGTTTGCTATTGACACTTAGGATCCTAGAGAAGGGAAGGCATTGCTTTTATAAGCTGTTCTCCAAAATGTTAGTAAAATACTTTACAATAATTTATATTTATTTTCACTATTTTATCAGTTGACACTCCATTTTTTTATTTAATGAGGGTACAATCTTATCTGATGAGTTGTCTGAGAATCCTAGAAATAAATCACAGCAAGGACAAAATTTAATACGTACATTAATATATATTGCCATTGGCTTCTGATTCACAGAGAATTGAGGGCCTGTGTAATTGTAATTCATTGGTGAGTGTGTGTTTGAGTCCTCCTCTGTGCTGATTCACAGAGGATATGAATTGTTGCAGCCCTTGGCTACAGAACTTTAGCAGCTCACACTTTTAGCTCTGGAGGTCATCTGTTCAATCCCCAGTGTGTCAGCCAAGAGAGTAGCAATAATGTAATAAAAGTAAAGGTATTATGGGAATGGTTTTACTGAAATCTGTTATGGCTTCAGTTTCACAGAACTGAGTAAGCTTTGTCATAAAAAAACTTTTTGTGGACTTGAACATGCTATTTTGTGCTGTCTCTGAGTTGTGCCTGTAGGTGTTTAGATTTGCTTGTGGATCTGCTTGCATATGGAGAAGACACAAAGCAAAACAATATTGTTACTCCTCTGTAGTTGTTCAGGCAAAGCAAAAACTTTTTGCTGCTTCTAAACTAAAAATAGATGATCAGCTTCAGCAATAGTTTTGCTTTATGTCCAAATGAATAACATGCTTGTATATTAGTGGATCATTAGATAACTGTTACTACCTTAAAGGGACATTAACAACTTGAAAATAATATTTTTGTGTGGAAAAAGTTGTACTCACTTTACTGTAAGACTTAAGACTCCTATAGTTGACTAGAATAGTACAATTTTTTTCCAGTTTGTTTACTTTGTGCATTTGGAAGCACATTTTGTATAATCAGATGAAATGATTCCATATATGATCAGATAATTACTCAGTTTTTCTCTTGCTAAAGAGATGCTGATAAGTAGAGAAGCAGAAAGCTCTTTACAAAAGGTACTAATATTTGTCTGTTTTTAAATCAGACCATACTGGAATTTTAAACCGAAAGTGGAATTTAAAAAACTAGTCAATTAAAAATAAGTTGATGCTGTCTCTTTTACTGTAAAACTAATGGTTTGTGCTGGTTGCACTTATGAAACCTGAACTTAATTTCTGCAGCTAGTTCAGTTTGTGCCATTCCTTGCAATCTCCTTCACACAGAGGGCACCGAAAATGATTGGGGGCTGAGGCACATGACTTATGAGGAGAGGCTGAGGGAACTGGACTTATTTAGTCTCTGGAAGAGAAGAGTGAGGGGGGATTTGATAGCAGCCTTCAACTACCTGAAGGGGGGGTTCCAAAGAGGATGGAGCTAGGCTGTTCTCAGTGGTGGTAGATGACAGAACAAGGAGCAATGGTCTCAAGTTGCAGTGTCTAGTTTGGATATTAGGAAACACTATTTCACTAGGAGGGTGGTGAAGCACTGGAATGGGTTACCTAGGGAGGTGGTGGAATCTCCATCCTTAGAGGTTTTTAAAGCCCGGCTTGACAAAGCCCTGGCTGGGATGATTTAGTTGGTGTTGGTCCTGCTTTGAGCAGGGGGTTGGACTAGATGACCACCTGAGGTCTCTTCCATCCTTAATCGTCTATGATTTCCTCTTCATGAGAAAAGGGATGTGCATAATTTGTTAGTGATTTTGGGGTACATATCACCCAAATGGAGAATTTACAGGTCATAACTGTTTTACCATGTGAAATGAAATATTGGAAACAAATAGTTCCTAAGTTTCATGCTAACTTCTCTAATCTGTTGTGTAAGTACAGGCAGAGGTTTGGAATGATTTTGATCTTTGCTTGAAATTATGTAAAGGGAAATACCTTTTTGTCAAGCACTATTAGTGTTCCTTTCTATTTTAAACTGCTTGTCCTTCCAATTGTAGCTCAACCAGCTGGCGTGCCAGAGATCCTCAAGAAAAGTTTGCACAGCTGTTCAGTGAAGGGGGAAGAGGAAGTCTTTCTGATTGGCAAGAACTTTCTTAAGGGAACAAAAGTGATCTTCCAAGAGAATATTTCTGGTCAGTGTGAAAAATACAGGGGCTTGGGCTGAGGAAAGGAGGACATATTTGGGTTTAAAATCCTACTACTTGGTTTTGTTCCACTTCTTAAGAGCTAATGAAGCAGCAAATACTATAGCAACTCTATTGAGGACACCAAAATAATATTTTAGTTTTGTATAAATGTGCAATAAAAGTTACTTTTTTTTTTTTTTTTTTTTTACTTTAAATCAGATGAAAACTCTTGGAAAGCAGAAGCTGAAATAGACATGGAATTATTTCATCAGGTACTTACTCGAACATTGTATACAAATATCTGAAAATGTTCCCTGCATCATCACTCAAAATAAAAGTTTGATTCTTAGCTTTGTTCTATTGTCTTGGCCAGTAGAGACCAGGAAGGCTTGCTCTTCATACATAAAATGCAAAGAATATAATTAAGGAAATTGTATCTAGTATGATTTCACATACTATATACTGGAAGCATGATAGTTTTGTGGTAATTGTTAATGTTAAGAAAGATATTCTACTCTAAAGTTCCATTTTCAGTTAGCACTACAAGTAAAGAATAATACTTAGCTAACTTTGAGGGAAAAATAAAAAAAATTAACGAAAAACAATGTGTTTATCACATGCACAATCTGTAATTTTACATACTTATTTTACTTACTACTTGATTTTTTTGTCCATTCAGACTTCCAATCTTAATATTCCCTTAACATAGATTTTTGCACTTAATAGAGGGTAATAATTTCTTAACACAGAAAGCATCTGTCTGTCAAAACTGAGTATCGGGTTGTACTTTTGCCAACTCACAAGTACTAAGGCAGATAGTCAATTTTAAGATTGAAAAACAGCATAAAAAAAGGTACAGAAACATGTTTAACTTAGCTGCCCTCCTTAGTAAAGGAAAATACTAAGCCCCAGAGAGAGAGAGCATGAAGGCGAAGCTCTGTGATATAGAGAATCTCTTCTTTGGTGGGAGTCCCTCTCCACCCCAACTAGTGTGTTTATATTTAAAAAAAAAAAAGCTTGGGATTGTTGCTTTCAAGGATATTTCTACGAGGCATTCCATACCCCTTTCCCAAGGATGAGATTATCCTCAATTGGTTCCCTATCCTACTAGTCTTTTTAAAATCTATTTCTGTTTCTGTAAAACAGGACTACCTATGGCTCTAGGTATGTTCAGTTTTACAGTAAAGCATACAGCCCTACACACACCCTCAAATTAAAACTCTAGATTATATCTCTTCCACCAGAAGGACCTAGGAGAGGTAACTTTGTAATGTGATCCTGAAATTCATTGATTCTGGAATTAGCTGCTCTTGTTGGACTGCCAGAGTTGAGGACCTTTTGCTGAAGGTTCCCTGTTACCACTGCCCTCTAGATTAAATTTGCGGGCCGGCTGCTTGAGTGCTCTAGCTAACCAGAAGTACCGTGGCATTTCATAAGAAGATAAATGTTCTGAGGTAACAGGACCCAACCCATCTAGAATAAATGAAGAAGCTACTATACAAAAACCTAACTAAAGGCTCACTGAGGCAAAGCTAAGGGGTGATTTGCAGAAGGCCCCACTGTGTGATGTGTAAACTCACTTAGAATGCAGTGTTGTCTTATTCAGACTTGGCTGTAGGGGATTTCTAAACTGGGTTTTAGCTGGAAAGAATATTATTTATTATCCCTAGCAATCTAAAGAAATGTTATGGAATGATGTCTTTGACATCAGTTTGTTTAAAACTTCAAAAACAGAATTTAAAGTGCAGTTCTAGTCCGAAAATTGACAAGAAAAATAGCATTGTGAACTTGCAAGTTATTTCTCTTATTGAGTCCAGATTAGGCTACATTTGCAAGTAAAATTAAGTGGTTTTTTTCCCCCTTGGAGTTTGTGGCACTGACAATTAATCTAGGATCTTCCCTTATGGTGTGTTATAAGGAAAAATAAAGGTTCCATTCACAAAATTATGCCCTTAGTGACACCAAAGCAACCCCATTGTTAGTGGGTTTGCATAAATGTAACTTGGTTTTGTAATTGGGCACTTAGATACCACAATGATGGCTGTGTGGTATAAAACACTAAATAGAATGGGAACTTAGTAAACATGAAAATGTGTAATGACTCAAATTCTGCTCTTGCTGGCTGTGCAAGGTTAACAGAAATAACTTGCACGGCTCGTAGAACAGGTTGTCTGTGTTAACACACAAATAATAAGCAGAAAGTACAAGGAACCTATATGTGAGTAAAATGGTGCTACTTTGCTATACTCTCTTCTCAGAGTGGAACTTCACAGTTTTGCCAGTGAATGAGACTCCTTATGTAATAGTTGGTAAAAGGTTATAGTACATATAACATAGTTCAAAGGAAGGATCTAAAATTTTGCCCACGACTTTCACCTGGGGAGTTATTGTGTTATCAGTGGGGGGAAAGCATTGTATCTTCTCTATGCTCTTTGTGTCTGGCTGAATTTTTTCTAGTTTAGTTACACTTTCCCCAGTAATTGACTTAATCTTTGCATACAGTTAGGTGGCTTGTAGGTTGAATTAATATTGCAAACAGTGCTGACTGGAGCTGATCATTTTTTTTCTGTTGGTAAATTGCCCACAAACACAGTTTTTACCAATTTCTTATTTCTAATGGTTGGACAGATAGTTTGGGAACAAATGTTGGTCTGTGGATTGTTCATGATTGCTTCTGCTGAAAACAGTTTAAGAAGTGTTCCTGTCTTCAGCACTCAGATACCCAACTCCCAATGGGGTCCAAACCCCAAATAAATCCGTTTTACCCTGTATAAAGCTTATACAGGGTAAACTCATAAATTGTTCGCCCTCTATAACACTGATAGAGAGAGATTCACAGCTGTTCTCCCCCACCCCCAGTATTAATATATACTCTGGGTTAATTAATAAGTAAAAAGTGATTTTATTAAATACAAAAAGTAGGATTTAAGTGGTTCCAAGTAATTACAGAAAGAACAAAGTGAATTATCAAGCAAAATAAAATAAAACATGCAAGTCTAAGCCTAATACAGTAAGAAAGTGAGTATAGATAAAATTTCACCCTCAGAGATGTTTCAGTAAGCTTCTATCACAGACTGGATGCCTTCCTAGTCTGGGCCCAATCCTTTCCCCTGATACAGTCCTTGTTCCAGCTCAGGTGGTAGCTAGGGGATTTCTCATGACTGCAGCCCCCTTTGTTCTGTTCCACCCCCCTTATATATCTCTTGCACAAGGCAGGAAACCTTTGTCCCTCTCTGGGTTCCCACCCCTCCTTCTTATGGATACCAGTTCAGGTGACATGATCACATGTCATTGTGAGACCCCAAGCCTTCCTGACTCACAGGAAGGCTTACAAGTAAACAGAGCCATCTACAGTCAATTGTTCTGGTTAATGAAAGCCATCAAGATTCCAAACCACCATTAATGGCCCACACTTTGCATAATTACAGTAGGACCTCAGAGTTATATTTCATATTTCTAGTTTCAGATATAAGAATGATGCATTCATACAAATAGGATGAACACACTCAGTAGATTATAAGCTTTGTAGTGAAACCTTACAAGAGACTTTTTGCATGAAGCATATTCCAGTTACATTATATTCACACTCATTAACATATTTTCATAAAATCATATAGAGTGCAACGTCACAGGACGTTTACACATTTATTTGTTGTCTGTAATTGTTTGACTCTTTTGTGCGAATTAAAAGATCTTTTCCAAATGGCTGCAAAAGCACATCTGGTGTGAATACTCCAGCAAATATTTGTGTGACACTTCTGCTTTCTGTGAACTTTCTTGCAAATACTCATTCAAATGTTCTTTAGTAAAAAGAATTTAAAATACTAGGAAACTGAATTGGGAGGTTTTATTTACAAGGACTTTTTTGCTGCATTCACGTAATACGTTATCTTTAAAGGGTAGGCGATAGAAATGACTGAAACCTTGCATGCAAAAATTACCATAAAACTCTTGTAACGCTGCAGAATAAAAGGGACTAGAGGGAAGTACAAATGAATTCTGCAGCCCTTTGACTCTTCTGCCCCTTGCCTTGTCTTTCAAAGTGGATGTCCTTCTATCTTTTTCATATCTTCTGTGTTTACATAACTTGCCAGTACCTATGAAATGGTAAATATCTTGAATTCAGGAGATGTACTGAACTCTTGTACTCAGGTTCTCTTTGCCTGAGTTGCCAGAACCTGAACCTCTGCTCATATTGAGTACAGAGGCCCTGATTCAACAAAGTACTTAAATGTGTACTTAATTCTCTTTGACTTCAGTGGGATTTAAGCACAGGTTTTAAAGTTAAGCACATGCTTAAGTATTTTGCTGAATCAGGGCCGGAGTTCAAGGGTATGTGTATGTCTTTCCCACTCTTCCTCCCCGCCCGCCCCATTTACACTATATGTTACAAATAAGCACTGTAGGCAGAACATTCCAGTGTCCTTTTCAGCTTCACATGGTTGTCCATTTCTTTTAACAGAAGCACAGCTTCACCGCCTTCCCCCCTGCACTTCTTACAGGTTTTCTTTTAGAATAGAATATAGAAACATAGAATATCAGGGTTGGAAGGGACCTCAGGAGGTCATCTAGTCCACCCCCCTGCTCAAAGCAGGACCAATCCCCAGACAGATTTTTACCCCAGTTCCCTAAATGGCCCCCTCAAGGATTGAACTCACAACCCTGGGTTTAGCAGGCCAATGCTCAAACCACTGAGCTATCCCTCCCCCAAATTACTATAATGTATTTGCTAGTGTTTGTGCTAGTCCATTTTTTGCTTTGATTTGGCTTGCTTTGGATGGATAATAGTTACCTTTTAAATTGCAATTAAAATAATGAAGAAATCTTTCTAATATGAACTCTCTCTCCTTGCAATACAGAATCATCTTATTGTGAAGGTGCCACCATATCACGACCAGAAAATAACCTCATCTGTTTCTGTGGGGATATATGTGGTGACCAATGCTGGAAGATCTCATGATGTGCAGTCATTTACATACACTCCAGATACATGTACGTAAAGTGAAGAAATGAGGGGAGGGAATGGACAAAATTGCCTGCAAGATCTTTTCTGATTTTAATTTTTGAATATTGAAGCAGAGAGAAAGGGGCTAACAAGGGTAGCAGCTGTGTGAAGTTGGGTAATAGGCTTTTCAACAAATATACATGTTCAGTAATAATATACCATTACAATGACATTTCTTCTTTGATAAGTGGCACATATGGGTGCTTTAGCAGCCTTCTGAAATTTCAAGGCATTCTAGGAAGAATGTTTTGAGTCACTAACATGACAGTTCCTCTACTGGCCAAAACACTTTGAAAGGCTCCTGGTTCCTTCCCTCAGCTAAGGACTCTTCTGTTCCCCAGACCCTAATATAGGGAGGGACAGTAACAGTCATGATTGCAATGAAGATGATGGTGTGTGCTGTCGAGTACTGAGAGAGCCACCCTTAGGGATGTCATGAAGGCAAATAGCTTTAGGGCTCAGCTGTCTACACCCTGGATCTTGAGTCCTAAAATTCATTTCTGAACAGGAGGCTAAGCACAGAATGAAGTCAAATAGCAATTGCAATAGTTGTGGTGAAAAGGCTTGCAAAGGATGAGGAGACCCTACACATGGCAGACAGGTAACCATAGAGGGAAAGGGACTTGAGGAAGAATTAGGGAGCAAATGTTTCCTCACTACTCAAAAATAAATAAAATCGAAGGCTTTTGTTTTCTCGTAGACTGTGCAATATTTAACCGACTGTTCAGTCTCAGTAAACTTTGATCATTGCAGGTTATCAAAATTTCTTTAGTTACTTGTTATATTGGCATCAGAAATGTGAATATTCTAGGAGCTCCTCTTGTTAGCAAAATCTGCTCTGTCAAGTAATGAGGTCTGAAGGGTTAACTTCCATCCTTGTTATGGCATGTAGCGAGGGAATCCCAGCCAGATACAGGCTGCTGCTTTCACATAGTAGTATCAATTTCAAGTTTATATAAGTTCAAAAAAGGAAGAACCCAAGCTGCAGGGCAAGTGAAGGTACAGGTGTTTGCAGTGGAAGATATAGCAAAATAAATAGCACCGAACATTCCGTGTAGAAAGACCGAAGGGTGCAAATCATACACATATTTCTGTTTTTGATGCCACAATCTCTAATACAGTACCCAGCTTGCTTGTTCAATTTAGAAATGAAAATTAAACTTTAGAAGTACACTGCTAATTCTTTTTATTTTTAACTTTGAAAACTATTGACTATCTTAGGCTGGGAATAAGATGTGAATTTATTTTACATAACTGATGTCCCATAATTCACTAATATGACCTATACATTGTGAGGCTCTTACACTGCAGAAATAAGATATGCAACTTAATGATACTCATAGGGGATGTGATTTTATTTACTTCTGTTTATGCGGGGAGGTCAAGCTATCATGCAAGGGGATCTCCTATGTAATGGCAAAAAGGGCAATGAAAAGTTCTGCATAGCTACAGTTGAACACCTAGAGCAGAAGCATAGTCAGCATAAAACAAAGGATGAATGTAAGAGTCGTGCAAGCTCTGTTAGCGCCACTGTACGAGCCTGTGACTGTAAGGAAGTACCTCTAGAGAGGTATAGTAACAATTTCTCTTATTCCCAGACTTACATGTATTGGATCTCATTTTCAGTGAGGCTTCAACTGCACTTCCCACATGTTGCATGCACTCATTAGTGCAGTAATAACTGCATGCAGGTGATAGAATTTTAATGTGCAAATCCTATTTGGACAGATTTTGCAATGGACAGAAAATTGCCATCATAACACAACAGGGTTCACACAGGTGTGTGCACAGAAAATTGTGCTTACATTGGGAGTGAATATGAGGCTCATTGGTAATTCCCACGCTGGTAACATAGTCTTTAGACACAAAATTCCTCTGAAATGCTAGTTAATGATTATTTTAACTAGTAAACCTACAGCTCTTCACTTTAGTGCTATATATATATTTGATCAGCTGTGTCAGTCTCATCTTCTGTTTTCTGTCGATCAGGGTGAGGACAAGGAAAGATGTAATAGATTCAACAACGTCATCACTAGAGATCTACTCTTACCTTGCTACATAGGACTTTTGTGTGTTATTCTCCATGCTTCAAAATGAGAATATAATAAGAACCTGATGTCTTGCTGTCCTATGTCTCTCATTGCTATTTCTGCTGAGCAAAGAAATTCAAGGAGAACTCTCATGAATATGGTCTATGTGAAACATTAAGATTAGAGAAATGTTGAGAGCGGCAGCTAGATATTGGAGTTATACATTAATTACAAATGCCTGAGAGACTATATACTGTAAACCTGTTAAAAAGACATAAAAGCTTTGCTATGATGAAAACCTTCAGTGCAGCTATTTGTAGTCCATAGGCTGAGATACTCTTTTTTTGTTGTTGTTTTTTTTAAACTCAGGGGAGTTGGACACCTGACTCCCTTAGGCTCCTTTGAAAATCCCAATGCATGGTCTACTTGTTACTTGTACACAACATGGCTGTCAGTAGAATGGATAGATAGCTTTACATCATCTGATTGTGAGAGAAGAGAGCTAGAAATTTATTCCCTATATTGAATGTCTAAAGTAATTTTGGTAAAATATTAATGATCACACAAAGTTTATAATGAGCTCGTGGGGTACAGCCTAGTGTTCAGGTCTTTGGCCCAGTGACCCAAAGGGAGTCTTCTGTTTGGAGATGTTGCCTTCAGAGAATATCTGTATTCAGCTCCACAAAAGCTGTATTTCATATGTGTGTTGTAAAATGTGTTTACCAATATCATACTAGTATTCATGGTACACCATCTCTTTTTATTATGGGGGAAGAGGGTTCCAGGAGCATTTGCATGACTCAAAGACTTTTTTCCCTTATTTTTCACTTTTACTTATTTGGTATCTGTATTAGAAGATGTAATCTTGTCCGGAAATGTAAGTGAACATTTTCCTCCTGAATTTATCCTGATTGTTTTCTGCCTCATGTGATAGTAGAAGTGAATTACTGAATGATTGTTAAACTGATGTATTTTATGAGGACCAATTTGACCTGGAAATATGTAACTAATGTGTCTTGTGTATTTTGTATGGGTTCTTTTTTGAGTGCCTGTACACATAGAATCGTAGGACTGTCTCCTGCACTTGCGGCAGGACTGAGTATTGTCTAGACTAGGGGTGGGCAAACTATGGGCCAGATCCGGCCCCTCAGGGCTTTGGATCCAGCCTGCTGAATTGCCCCCCGTGGCGCTGTGGGCCCCGCACCGCTCTCGGAAGTGGCCGGCACCACTTGTCATTAAGCTGGTGGAAAGACTCTCAAAGTTTGCAAGTGTCCTCTCCACAATTGCCATCAAAGACATTGGTGACAGATGCCTTCACATTGGGGTGGGAAGTCCACTTGGACAATCCTCAGACATGGGGCATATGGACTCTTCAGGAAGCCTGGCTTCACATAAATACCTTGTAGCTAAGGGCCATTAATCGGGCCTGCACGATTTTCCTCTGAGTTCTAAAAGGTTGAATAAGTCAATTCCTGACAGACAACACTTCAATAATGTTTTATATAAACAAACAAGGGGGAGCAGATTCTTTGTCATGAATGTGTATGCCTACGGAATTTCTATATGAGTCTGACAGAAATACTTACCAGGATTACAGAATGTGCTGGCAGATCTCAGCAGACTATTTGCAAGTGGCCACAAATGGTCAATGAAGGCCACTCAAGTGGGGTCATCCAGTCATAGACCTCTTTGCCACCAAAGAAAACAAAAGTGTCAAAAGCTCTGCTCCAGAGGAGGACCAAGTCTGGCATCCCTGTCTGATGCATTTCTGATCCCCTGATCCCCAGGACTGATGTACACTTACCTTCCAATTCTATTGATCCCAAGAGTTTTCATGAAGCTCAGGCAGGATTCAGCCAGAATAGTCATGGTAGTTCAGGCATGGCTGAGGCAATTCTGGTTCTCAAACCAGAAGAATATCTCCATCCAACCTCCAGTGCAATTGCCTCCCCAGCCAGATGTGATATCTCAGAGATGGACAGATCCTAGTATGCATCTCAACTTTCTGATCATCAGTTCATGTGTATTTCACATTTTTCACACCATACAGTTGCAACATTTTTTTTAAAAGCCTTCTGAGGGTATGTCAGAGTGCCATTGACCCTTTAAGTGAGAGCAGGGCCAGTGCACTTGTGACTGGTCCACTAACCTCAGCTGACCTTTAAAAGAGGGCACCTGGTCTTTGAGAGAGAGAGATCTGGTGAGGGGGAGTGTGAAGCACAATCAGGATAGGGGTAGAGAAGAACTAGAGAGACATATAGGGTAGCTACGTGGTGTTAAATGCATATGTTTACCAAGCATAACTACACAGTGGAAGCGTCAAAATCTGATGCTTATTTTGGTAGGGCTTTCTTGGAATAATTTTTTTAGGTAGATTGCTGGCACCCACCTCCTGTCATCTAGGTCATTGATTGAGTTTCCAAAGCACTCGAAGAAAAAACAATTATTTACTTATAGTAGCTTTGGCTCTTTGAGATGTGTTGTCCATATCTATTCCACAACCTGCCCTCTTTCCGTGCTACCAAGGAGACGGAAAAGATATAGGTTCTATATTGGTGAAGAAATGGAGAGGTGGTTGGGGTGGCCTGCCCTTTATGCCCTCCATTAGAGGCAGTAAGAAACTCAGGGTGCCAATATGGCCCGCAATGGACATTAATGGCCAAAAGAATCTGAACTCAAGTCCATTGGGCACATGCACACCAAAAGTGGAATATATATGGGTAAAACCTCTTGAAGACCCACAGTTACTGTAAGGTAAGTAGCCATTTCTTGTGAGAATGCTTTCAACATACTTGAGATTCAGCAATGTCTTTTGTCTCAACAGCTGGTACTCTGAATGTTAATGTGAAGAAAGAAATCTCCAGCCCAGCACAGCCTTGTTCTTTTGAAGAGGCTATAAAAGGTACTAAATTGATTCTTATCAATGTTAATGAGTGAGCTGTAACTTCCTCCATCATTCCTGTCCAGATTGTACACTGAAGGAGCTAGGGGTCCCATAGAAATAGTTTGTGATCATATCATTAGATTCTATGCATATAACTTTTCTTTTTCTTTTCTGACTTTGAAGACTTCACCTTGCAACTACAGTGTTTTTATATATATAAATAAACATGGATTAGTATAGAGCAAAAACCATTCAGAAGTTTTAAAAAATCCATCTGGACTCTTCCTGTATACTGCCCTATGTTCCACTCTTTCTTTCATCCTCATCCCTTGGAAGCATATTAGAGAAAATGAAGTTTCTGTCACTTACACACTTAACATGGGAATTATTACAAGGAATTTAGAAAATATAAGAGAATTAATTTATGCAAGATAAAATTTAAAAGACTAAGAAGAACTAAGTTTAGCATCAACCCCCTCTTAACATTCTAGCTTTGGATATTACCTTAAGAGGGGTTGAAGTTACATTGTGACCGTATTGTAAGTAGAGTGGGGGCTGTTCTGTAGCTGCCTAGTAGAGCTTTTATATCTGGTTTCACTGGGGAAGTTGAGAATACTTACTACACCTCTACCTCGATATAACGCTGTCCTCGGGAGCCAAAAAATCTTACCGTGTTATAGGTGAAACTGCGTTATATTGAACTTGCTTTGATCCACCGGAGTGCGCAGCCCTGGCCCCTTCTCTTCACCTCCCCCTCCCCCGGAGCACTGCTTTACCGCGTTATATCCGAATTTGTGTTCTATTGGGTCGCGTTATATCGAGGTAGAGGTGTATTTCTAATATTCTTCACTCATTCCCTCCAGTGTCTGTTGTGTGATTAATGCTGCTTAATCAGGACATTTGCATCACTTGGCTCATGAGATACAAGTGCAAAATTATCCGGTTTTGAAGTGGGAGGTGTATTTAAATTGTATGTATTGGAACATAGTAAAGGAGGGGGACATTTCTATTCATTTGTTAAAACTAGTGTGCCACGGTTAATGGAAATTTCCGTAACCTGCTCTGTTGAAGACACTTTGAAAGGAGAGCAGATTAAACAATGTGATCACAAGTTTGATAGGAATCCATAGCTCCAGGTTAAAATCACAAAGCTGATATTTAAAGTTAATAGTTTTACATTTGGACCTTGGCAGTTGATGTGACTAGAAACCAAATGCACTTTTTTGACCAATCAGCAAGGACAGAACAATATGTAATGAGGTTTAACCTTGCAGGGAAAATGTAGGGAAAGACTTTGAAGAACCTTTATGACAAACAGGATCTGGTTGAAAATTTGAAAGTGGAAAGCAGCTTGGCTGAAAATGATCATGAAATGGTAGAGTTCATGATTCCAAGGAATAGTAGGAAGGAAAACAGAATACAGACAGTGGACTTAGAGAAGGCAAACTTTAGCAAACTCAGAGCACTGGTAGGTAAGATCCCATGAGAAGCAATTCTAAGGGGAAAAAAGAGTTCAGGAGAGTTGGCAGTTTTTAAAAAAGACACTATTAAGGGCACAAGAGCAAACTATCGCACTGCGTCGGAGAGATAAGAATTATGGCAAGAGACCACCCTGGCTTAACCAGGAGATCATCAACAACACTGAAACTCAGAGTCATACAAAAAGTGGAAACTAGGTCAAATTGGGAAGGATGAATACAAAAAAGCAACACAAGCATGCAGTAACAAAATTAGAAAGGTCAAGGCAAAAATTAGATTAAAATAGTTAGGAACCTAAAGAGTACTAAGAAAATATTTCACAAATATATGAGAAGCAAGAGGAAGACCAAGGACACGGTGGGCCCATTACTCAGTGAGGAGAGAAAGACAATAACAGAAAACACAGCAATGGCCGAAGTGTTAAATGCTTTTTTGGTTTCAGTTTTTGCCAAAAAAGTTAGCAATGATAGGATGACTAACATAGTGAACATCAGTGTAACTGGGATAGGGCCTCAGGTTAAAATTGGAACAGAACGAATTAAGAATTATTTAGGGCAGTCTACACTATTGCTTAAAAAGCCACCCCTCTGAGCAATGCGAATTACAGAGACCTAAACGCTGTCCACACTGGCGCTATGTCGCCGGAAGCCACTCTTCCGCTGACATAGCTTCTGACTCTCATGGAGGTAGAGTAATTATACCAACGGGAGAGTGCTCTCCCATCCACATAGTGTCTTCACTAGACCTGCTGCAGTTGTGCCAATGTAGCACTTCTCGTATAGACCTGCCCTTAGATAAGTTAAGTGTCTTCAAGTTGACATGGCCTGATTAAATATATCCTAGAATACTTAAGGAACTGGTCGAAGAGATCTCGGAGCCATTAGTGATTATTTTTGAGAATGCCTGGAGGACAGGAGAGATCCCAGCAGACTGGAAAAGAGACAAATATTGTATATATCTATAAAAAGGGGAATAAGGACAACCCAGGAGATTATAGACCAGGCAGCTTAAATTCAGTACACGGAAAGATAATGTAGCAGATAATCAAACAATCTTTTTATAAGCACCTAGAAGAAAATAAGGTAGTAAGTAACAGTCAACATGGATTTGTCAAGAACAAATCATGTCAAACCAACCTAATATCCTTCTTTGACAGGGTAACAAGCTTTGTTGTTGAGGGGGAAGTAGTAGATGTCCTATCTTAACTTTAGTGAGGCTTTTGTTACTGTCTTACCTTCTCATAAACAATGTAGAGAAATGCAGCCTTGATGAACCTACTCTAAGATGAGCGCACAACTGGTTGGAAAAGCGTAGAAGTGGGCTGTAGCCCACGAAAGCTTATGCTCTAATAAATTTGTTAGTCTCTAAGGTGCCACAAGTACTCCTGTACTCTGAGAGTAGTTGTCAGTGGTTCACTATCAAACTAGAAGGGCATAGTGAGTGGGGTCCTGCAGGGCTCTGTCATGGGTCTGGTGCTATTCGGTATCTTCATAATGATTTGGATAATGACACAGATAAAGTTCACTGGTGATACCAAGCTGGGAGGGTTGCAAGTGCTTTGAAGGACTGGAGTAGAATTCAAAATGAACTTGACAAACTGGAGAAATGATCTGAATTAGGATGAAATTCAATAACAAATGCAGAGTACTTAGGAAGGAATAATCAGTTGCACAAATGGGAAATGCCTACTTAGGAAGGAGGACTACAGAAAAGGATCCGGGGGTTACTGTTGATCATAAACTAAATATGAGTCAACAATGTAATGCTGTTGCCAAAAAAAAAAAAAAGCAAACATTATTCTAGGATGTATTAGCAGCAGTGGTGTAAGCAAGACACAAAGTAATTCTTCTGCTCTACTCAGCACTGATAAGGCTTCAACTGGAGAACTGTGTCCAGTTCTGGACAACACACTTCAGGAAAGATGTGGACAGATTGGAGAAAGTCCAGAGGAGAGCAACAAAAATGACTAAAGGTCTAGAAAACATGACCTACAAGGAAAGATTGAAAAAATTGGGTTTGTTTAGTCTGGAGAAGAGAAGACTGAGTGGGGGCATGATGATAGTTTTCAAGTATGTAAAAGGTTGTTATAAAGAGAAGGGTGATAAATTGTTCTCCTTAACCACTGAGGACAGGACAAGAAATAATGGTCTTAAATTGCAGCAAGGGAGATTTAGGTTAGACACTAGGAAATACTTCCTAACTAGGGAGGTTGGGAAATCACTGTCATTAGAAGTTTTTAAGAGCAGGTTGGACAAACACCTATTAGGAATGGTCTAGAAAATACTTAGTCATGCCTCAGTGCCGGCGACTGGACTAGATGATCTACTGAGGTCCCTTCCAGTCCTACGTTTCTATGATTCCATGGTTTTTTTCCTTCTTTCTCCACAAGAAAGAGAGGAGCCAAAAAAAAAAAAAATCTAATTAATCACCTACATCTAAGTCCCCTCTAAGCTGTGTGGTTGCGCAGCAACCTATTAAGCGCTGCACACGCGCTCAGGGCTGCGACAGGGGGAGATGCCTCTCTCCCAGCCCTGGATCTGCTGTGGCAGGGAGAGGCGCCTCTCTCTGCCAGCCCCAGCCCAGTCCCGGAACTGCTGTAGCCAGGGGGAGAGGCACCCTGGCCCCAACCCAGCCCCAGACTTGCTGTAGCCGGGGGGAGAGGCACCCTGGCCCCAACCCAGCCCAGCCCCAGATTTGCTGTAGCCGGGGGGAGAGGTGCCCGCCCCAACTCAGCCCCGGCCCAGACCTGCCACAACCGGGGGGAGAGGCACCCCAGCCCTGGCCCAGACCTGCCGCAATCGAGGGGAGAGGTGCCCCTCCCTGGGTCCCAACCCAGCCCAGCCCCAGACGTGTCGCGACTGAGGGGAGAGGCACCCCTTCCCCAGCCACAACCAAGCCCCGGACCTGCAGTGGCCAGAGGGAGAGGCGCCCCAGCTGCAGCCAGGGGAGAGGCGCCTATTCCACAGCCACAGCCCCGGAGCTGCCGTGGTGGGGAGAGGCGCCTCTCCCCCCCAAGCCCAGGTGCTGCTGTGGGGAGAGAGAGCTAGGGGTAGTCCTCTCTCCCCGCTGTAACCCCGGGGCAGCCTGCACCCCCTGGCCCCACCCCAGAGCCCGCACCCCCAGCCGGAGTCCTGACACCCCCACACCCTAACCCTCTGCCCCAGCCCTGAGCCCCCTCCCACACTCCAAACCCTTGGCCCCACCCCCGCCACATGAATTTTGTTATGTGCACTAATATGGAGGTGATGTGTCACACATCATCTTCATATTGGTGCACATAAAATTCATTCCGCATATGCGTAGGAGAAATTGTAGGGAACACTGACCTACAGCTCCCCAAAAATGGAATGCCACATGGGATGAGCAGTTAACCAAAAGCTTAATACTTGTTCTAGGTCCTTTCTGAAAATGACAAGTAAAAAGGTCCCTCCCTTGGGGGGCGGGAGGGAGTAGAGGGGGATTAGTCCATTGGGTCTGATGTGAACTGGGATCAGTTTCTGTTGCAAAACTACTTCATAAGCTGGGCCATCCCTAAATAACACACAGCTGTCTAAGGCATGAGAAGTAAACAGAAAAATCCAACCCCCCCCCACCCCAAAGTTCACCTCTCCAGGGGCTCTACAAAAGCACTTGACTCACTTGCCCAGGTCTTTCCTATCAGCAATCAAATTTCCTCTGTTTGGCTGTCTCAGGCCCTAGCTATTCAGGTTCTTCCAGCCCTGAGGAAGGGATGCATTTTCTGTAGTTTGAGTAGCCCTGGATTGAAGCTACTTTTTCCTTTGAGTCCTTACTGAATTTAGTTGATAGCTTAAGCAGTTGTAGTTTGGCACTACCCCCAACGTAGTCTATTAAATCCTTTCTGGGGTTATTGGTTTATAGACACTAAAATCCACTTCCAACTCAGGATTATTCTCTGGAGTGCAGAGCTGTTGTCTGCATCTAGGTACATTCAGACTGGATCACCCCAGAATGCATTGCACATCAGTTACAGGGAATGGTACAAATGACTTGAAGAAATGGTTGTCGAATTGTTTGTGTAGATGGGGTGCTGTCATTGTCACCCTACATTGAGAAGGGTGATGACATAGTGGAAAAAACACCTGCACCCAGTTTAAACTAACACTTCCACCATTGCGATACGAACAATGCAAAAAGTCCTAGTACGGACATATTCATTATGGCTACATGCGCAAGCTTGGTACCGTAGATGGGATGGGGAAACTTTTGTTTTAGGGCAGGAAGGGGCAAAGGCTCTGCATAGGATTGCTGTACACAGATTATATAACTTCAATGTGTATTTATATTATAAAAAGTAACAACATCATACTTTCTTCTACTGAGGTTGTTAATGATTTAACAGAGGAAGAATGTTTAACCCACTACTTATGCAAAGTATCTTTATTGAGCTCTCAATGCAAAGGACCTTAGAGAAAAACTCTCTCATAAATCCAAATGCCCATTAATGTCTTGAATGTGTCAATTCACTGAGCCCATGATTCCATTCCTGTTTTTATTTATACCCTTCTCTCTCCCCTTTGTTATGTGTCCTGGCTATTTAAATCCTCTTACTTGCTACTAATCTTTGCAGTTATTGTTCTCTGTAAGTGGCATCCCTGCCAAATGGAGTGGGACAAATCCACTGAGCTTTACACATACTGTTACATAACTAGCTGCCAGGCTTTGCCATGCTCATCACTGAAGGCTTTACTATTTCTCACGGATATTTATGCACATTACTCATGGGATTCTTTCCATTCCAAAGTTAACCTTTCCATTTATTGAAAAAGAAAAACCACATCAAATCCACAGTTCTAACGTTGTGAAAGAATGCTGGAGTTCTGGCCCATGTCAGTGCTGTGCAGAAGACCAGCTAACTAGAGTTTAATCTCAGGGCACCCTTTAAAACTTGGAAAGGGTGTTCATGTGTGTGGACCCACAAGGTTTGGGACTCTGGCTAAAGAACTGCTCTATATCTGACATTGCCTCTATTATACTACATTTATTCTGAAATTGTTGGTGATGGTGTCAGTCTCCAGATACTGTGCTGACTGTGCTACATAACTACCTAAATAGTGCAGTATTGGTTGAGAAAGTACAAATTTAAAGAAATACTGGAGCTAAGCATAAAGAAATATTGTGATATTTTACTACTTTTTCAAAGTGCTCCCAATTTCTTCTGTTGGGTTTCATTCTCCCAGCCAAATTTTGTTGAAAAGTTTAAGAAATATACCTTTGATTGTGAACGAACACACCATTGTTTGTGTTTAACCCATATATCATTGGGATTTAGAATTAGCTTTGTACTAACATGGTTGTTTATCTGCCACTTCTTCAAAAATGCATTAAGAACTTTTCATTGTTCCTGAGAAGCACAATGAGACTAAAGTTAAAAGATAACACAGTTTCTAAATCCTGCCTTTAGAGCATAAAGAAATTCTGATAACAAATAGCATTTAGCATTTAAAGATAACTATCTATATATCAAATTGGCCAAAACACATAGCTATTCTAGAATGGAAATAATGTTTTGAAACTCTTGTCTCACTTAAACCGTATTCCCTGCTAACTGGCCAATATGCAAATCCTGTGGTTTAAGTTTTCGGAGACATTCCAAAACTGAGCGGATGGAAAGAGGAGGAGAGCCTGTTTGGCTATTTATACACTATGTTCAACTAATGGCTGAGGATTTATTATTCAAGATACAAAATGTTCTTTTGGGAGAGAACCTCTGATCTCTTGCAGAGTAAGTGTACTAGGAACATGGAGTAGGACATGAAAGCATTGTCCAGGGCACTTTGCAGAAGGCTGTTCATAGTCAGTATCATGTTATGCTGTGTGTATATTACAAATAGGAAAATTGTTTCATAGCCTTGATTTTGGGTCTGGGATGATAAGAAATGCAAAAGATAACAGCCCTTTGATAAAAAGATTAGCACTTCGTTGAATTCAGGCTTCATATTTTACTTCTTGGTCTGAGACTTGCAGTTTCAGCAAACTTTTGAAATTAAGTAATTCCCTTTTATTCACATCCAAAACATCAGTTGGTGTCAGGCACAATTTGCAATTAGATTAGAAAGGATTTAGGATTGAAAAAAATTAATTCCTCAAGAAGCCTGCCCTCCAAGTTTAGAAACATTTAGAGGACAAAGTTAGATCTTACTTACATACTGCATGATAAAGCTGACATACAGATCAGGTCAAGATTTTTGTTTTACAGTGTTTCGCCCCAATGAAGACTTAACCAAACTGCTTTGTGAACTTGCCATTGTGCAAACATATCCTGAAACCGGATTGTTTCATATTGCGATCTCAAATGCAATATAGTTAAGTTATTTCAATCTGGAAAATCATTTCTTGACCCTAGAAGTTTGTAATTTAGACAATTTAAGTATGGGTATGCTGGTCTAGAAATGTACTCTTGCGTGAAATGCAAAAGTATAGCATTGCTGTTTGTTTAAAATCCTGTTTATCTGACACTACAGTTGTTTGATTTATGGGGTTTAATGTGTATTCCAAGATTGTTTCAAGGTTTCTGATTTTTATAGTGATCTCTCTCCTTTTAGCATGCCATCTCTTGTGAGGAGGAAAGTTTATGGCATCCCAGCAAAACTGCACTGGAAAAGCGCCACCATCTCCCTAGTAGTCTGCCACTAAGGAGTCAATACATTGAGCCATGATTTTTAAAGGCTATAATGCAGGATAACATTTTATCAACTCTTTGTGTTTTGCAGCAGTGGCAGCCACTGGCTGTAACCTGGATAAAGTAAATATTCTTCCTAGTGCCTTGATAACTCCACTTATGCCGACCAGTGTGATTAAGAATGAAGATGTGGCTCCAATGGAAGTTACAGCCGAAAAAAGATCTCCCACTATCTTCAAGGTAAGCTAAATTGTGAGCCCACTATGCTGATTATCCAAGCTTTGGGCATGACAGCATGTCCGACTATTTCATGGTAGTGTGTAGCAGAGGAGAGAAATAGGAGAGTGGTGAAAACTTCATAGCCCAAATCCAGTCAAACCTGTAATCCAGACATGCACATAAAGCAGTGAGTGATTCCCTTAAAAGTCATCAACAGCACTCTGACTCCTGCACTTGTCCTCAATGAAACAGACTGTGGAGCAGCACAGGTGTACAAGTTCTATTAGTAGCTTGCTGGCCCAAAGTCTCTGTTCTCCTGGTGCACTGTGTTCAGCCATAAAATCAAACACAACCTCCAGAAAGCTACTAATAGTGACCTGCCCTGAGCAGCAGCCTTTTCTGTTGACTTAGATTCATAGATTCTAGGACTGGAAGGGACCTCGAGAGGTCATCGAGTCCAGTCCCCTGCCCTCATGGCTTGGGAGAATGAGGAGGAGCAAAAAGGAAAAAAGCAATAAATATACAGAGTGGGGGGAGAAAAAATCCTACAGATGGGAAAACATGAGAAACCAGGCAGAGTAAAGGAAAAAATTATGACCCAGTGCCAGTACATGTGCCTGTAAAGGGAGATAGTTATCAGTTTATCACTTAAGAAAAAAGTCGGGTAGCCCTTACTAGTGGTTTATTTAGGATGTTTTGTTTGGGATGCCTTTTGCTTCTTTTCTAGGACAGTGGAAATTTTCCTCCTAGAGTAATCTCCATTCTCCAACTATGTGCAGGCAGGTTCATTTGTAAGGTCTGAGTATCAGCTTTTGTGTCTCAAAGCTGGACAACATATCCAAATGAGACCTGCACTGTAACCAAGACAAAGTAAGTAAAAGATCAGGAAAACAGCTGAGGAAGGGAAGCACCTGCTGCAGGAAATGTGTTGGTATAACACAAAGCTGGAGAATAGCTGGAAAACAGTAGTAGTATCTCCATTGTATGGCTGCTTCTCTGTTGTACAGCAGCACAACAAATAAAGAACAGTTTTATTTCTTTACAGCACAGTCAGTGAAACAAGGAACAGTCAGGATAAAGCCAGGACAAACATACATGCAAACCTATGACTTCATGGAGACTTGAGAAAAAGAAAATACTGCAAGCCATTCTACATTGCAACTATTTATTAAATGACCTAAACAAACCCAAAATGTTCATACAACTTAGGCACTCAATTCCACTTTTAGGCAACTTTAGAAAAGTGACTAGATTTTCAAAGATGCTAAATATCCACTATTCCCACTGAAACCCAGGTGAGTTGTGAAGTGCTCATCAGCTATGAAAATCAGGTCAACTTTTACACAGTTGCCTAAATATGCAATTGTTTAAACTTTTTGCACCCAAGTTTGAAACTGTTGACCTATGTGTCTATGAAATGAATGCTACCACTTCCTGCTAAGAATTTAGACTACCTCCCACAAAGAAAAAACTATCTGGATTCTAAGACATGCTTCCCCCCCTCCCCCCCCCCCCCCCCATCAGAACAAAAATCAGCTTGAAAGTTAAGGGTTGCAAACCAGTTTCCCATACTGAATTAGCCTATCAGCTTTTACTGTTAATGGCTCAAAAACAAAAACTGAGCAAGTTATTTTATCCTACATCTGGCTTATAGCTTCACAAATAGGAGTTTCCCACAGTGATGCACATAAACCTTGCTTGCTGTACTGGATCACACTACTGGTCCATGAAGTCCAGTGTTTTGTCTACAATAGTCCACTATCTGATACTTCAGAGAAAAGTGAATAAACCCCCACTTAATATATCTAGCCAATTCTGCAGAGTACAGGAGTGAAAATTCCTTCCTGGTCCCAGTCAGCATCAGTTTATGCAGTGAAACAGAAGGTTTGATCGTCCTTATTTTAGCATCATAACAACAAATATTATTGGTTAAAATGTTGAATCCCCTTTTAAAATCAGCTGCAGTATTTGACTGATCTCTTGTGGCAGTGCAAGTCATCTTATTAACTATAACCGTATCCTAAGACATCAGTGAAGGTTTCTAAGCATGACCTGAGTAATCCTACATACTTCTTAATGTGTACTGCTTTTTTTTCCCACCAGGCTACAAACGTGGTTGGACCAACTCAACAAACATTAGAAAATATGTCCAGCATATCAGGAAATGGAACCTTTTCAACTGCTGCTTCTCATTTACCTTCTGAGAGTGAAAAACAGCAGCAGATACAGCCTAAAATGTATAATGCAGAGACTCTGACTACTATCCAAACACAGGACATTTCACAGCCCGGTAGCTTTCCTGTCTCTGCTCCCAGCCAACTGCAGAATAGTGATGCGCTATTGCAGCAAGCTGCACAGTTCCAGACGAGAGAGTCCCAACCCAGAGAGGTGTTACAATCAGACAGCCCTGTAGTTACTTTGTCACAGTTAACTGAGGCTTCGCAGCAACAACAGTCAACACTATCAGAACCAGCACAGACACTACAGCAACAGATTTCATCAAGTATTTTCTCACCAGCAAACAGTGTGAGTCAGTTACAGAACACTATACAGCAACTGCAAGCTGGCAATTTTCCAACCAGCACTGCCAGTGGAAGCAGTGGAAATGTTGATTTGGTCCAGCAAGTCTTAGAAGCTGAACAGCAGTTATCTTCTGTTTTGTTTTCTGGGTCAGATAGTAGTGAGGATGTTCAAGAGCAACTCAGCGCAGACATTTTTCAGCAAGTTAGTCAAATCCAAAACAGTGTAAATCCTGGGATATTTTCCTCATCAGAGACAGCAGTCCATTCCAGGCAAGAGAATCTTTTGTCTGGAAGAGCTGAAAATGTCCATCCACAGCCTGAGAGCTCATTGTCCAATCAGCAGCAGCAGCAGGCAATGGAGACTTCTGCAGCAATGGTGATTGGAATGCAGCAAAGTATGTGCCAGGCTGCAACACAGATGCAATCTGATCTATTCTCCTCAGCAGCTTCAGGAAATGGAAACCTCCAGCAGTCCCCTGTTTACCAGCAAGCTTCCCACTTGCTAAGTGGGCTATCAACAAGCGAAGACATGCAGATGCAGTGTGAGTTATTCTCCTCATCTTCTGGTGTTTCTGGAAATGAAACAACTACTACTGCTCAGCAGCAAGTCTCGACCAATGGCTCTACCATGTTTCAGACATCGAGTTCTGCAGATGGAGAAGAAGCTTCAGGACAGAATAAACAGATGCAAAACAATGTGTTTCAGACCATGGTTCAGATGCAACACAGTGGGGAAAGTCAGCCTCAAGTTAACCTTTTTTCATCTACGGAAAACATGATGGCCGTTCAGGCAGGTGGAACTCAACAGCAGGGAGGTGGACTGTTCCAGCAAGGTGGGGAAATTATGTCTATTCAGTCAGGAAGTTTCATGCAGCAATCCCCACATTCACAAGCTCAACTTTTTCACTCTCAGAATCCCATTGGTGATGCTCAAAATATATCCCAGGAAACACAAGGGTCTATTTTTCGTAGTCCAAATTCCATTGTCCACAATCAGACCACTTCCTCTTCTTCAGACCAATTGCAGACTCCAATGTTCCACTCCCAGAACACCCTGGGTGTATTGCAGAGCTCTTCTGTACCTCAAGACCAGCAATCAGCCAACATGTTCCTTTCCCAGAATTCAATGAACAACCCTGTAACTCAAGAAGAACAGATGTCATTCTTTACAACACAGAATTCCATTTCTCCACTTCAGACAGCCACAAACACTGAGCAGCAAACTTCTTTCCAGCAGCAGGCACAGATACCCCACATTCAGAACCCTATGATTCCCCAAGATCAACCCCAAGCTCAGCCCACTCAGCAGGGTTTGTTTCAGACACAAGTATCACTAGGCTCCCTCCAGTCTAGTACAATGCCCCAGAACCAACAAGGGGCTATCTTCCAGCCTCAACATTCAATGGTTGCTATTCAGAGTAGCCCTCCATCCCAGGAACAGCAGCCACAGCAGCAGAACATGATGTTCAGTACTCAAAATACGAGTACAATTGCTTCTCAGAAGCAGACGATGATTTTCAACCCAAATCAAAATCCAATCACTAATCAGGAGCAGCAGAACCAATCTCTTTTTCATGCACAATCCAATATGGCGCCAATGAATCAAGATCAACAGCCCATGCAGTTCCAGGGTCAAACAACAGTGACTCCACTTCAGAATCCTGGGTCCAGCCAGCCAGAGACACAGCAGCCCACCATGTTTCATAACTCACCCCAGATTCAGTTGGTTCAAGGATCACCAGGTTCTCAAGAGCAGCAAGTCACCCTCTTCATCTCTTCAGCTTCCATGTCTGCCCTGCAGACTAGCATGAGCCAGCAAGAGCTGCAGCAGTCTCCCACCTACTCTTCTCCGAACAATCTGACAGGGATTCAGGGAGCTGCTTCTCCTGCACAGCAACAGTCTTCTTTGTTTCACAGTACAACAGGAAGTGCTATCAACCACCTGCAGAATTCTCCTGCTTCATCTCAACAGACTTCAGGAATATTCCTATTCGGGATTCAAAACAGTAAGTGTTAAAAATCCTCAATTCTAATATTACGGTTTAGAAAAACAGCTACTTTGGAGGCTACAAAATTAACTGTGTTTGTACAGCTTTGTAGAGGTGTAAAGTGGTAAGTGGTAATGGTTACAGTCCTGTCCTTGAAAGTGTTAGTCATTAAAGGCAGGAAATAAGTAAATTACACCCATGCCTTTTGAGAAACTTCTGTCACCTTCAGTGGAACATGCAAAAAGTTTACGTGTGTATAAGCCAATACAGTTGCATTTCTGTTGGATATACACCATTTATCCCAAAATACTAAAGATTATCTATGAAACCATGGGGGTGGAAAGGAAAATGTGAAATCAGTGCTCAGAGTTAGACTTCATAGAAGAGGATCTGTTCTAAATAGTTAATTCATGCTTAATACTTATATAGAGGTAATAAAAGGACGTGTTTCAAAAAGTCAGTGAAGTTGTTTTTAAAAATAAAGAGCTCGTTAGTACCCCATATTTTCTCCCTGTGAAGGTACTTGTATACTCTAATCAAGTTATCTCTCAATCTTCTTTTTAATAAGCTAAACAAACCATCAAATTATTTTTGTGGTGCTTTTCTGTGCTCTCTCCAATTTTTCAATGTCCTTTTAAAAATGTAGATACCAGAATTGTCCCCATTATTCACATATCAATTTTGCCAATGCCATGTACAGAGGTAAAAATGACTCCTCTATTCCTACTTATTACTCCCCTGTTTATACAGCCAGCAAATTAATTAGCCCTTTTGGCCACAGCATCGCACTAGGAGTTCATGTTGAATAGCATTGAGTTAAGTACCTATCCCTATGGAACCCCCCTAGAAACAGCCCTATTCAGAGATGATTCCCCATTGATGACTACTTTCTGAGATCTGTCAGTTAGGTTTGAATGTTCCTTTAACTATTCTGAATTTTCACCTTGAAGTTTGAAGTATTTTCTTCTTCTCTCTCACTCCATTACAAAAATAATTAGTCTTCAGATTTTCCCTCAATGGGATAGTCAACGTTTTTCACTCCTCGTGTGTGCCAGTCCCTTTACTTCCACTTTTTGAACACTTACTATTAAAAGTAAAGAAATTAGAAGAATAAAAAGGATGTTTCCAAACGCATGGAAAACTAGTTATTCTGACTAGTCCCAAAATTCGTTCTGAGAGAGAAGTATGGCTGTATTAGGTATATACAAAAATAAGCTTGTCTCATTCAGGGCATAGGAGAGATAATGATAAGAATCTTAAAGTTAAGTGTAAAAGGAGACAGATGTTTGATTTTCCTATATAGAGTTAGCTTTTTAAATATTGGTTCTTACCTATGATACCCTCGCTGATATGTGTTATGCTGTTTATCCTTTTGAGGTCTTGATTGCTGTGTTTGACAACAGCCCTACTAATTTCAGAGGGGTAGCCATGTTAGTCCGTATCAGCAAAAACAACGAGGAGTCCTTGTGGCACCTTAGAGACTAACCAATTTATTTGGGCATAAGCTTTCGTGGGCTAAAACCCACTTCATCAGATGCACAGAGTGAAAAATATACTAAGCATGTATAAATATACAGCACATGAAAAGATGGGAGTTGCCTTACCAAGTGGGGGGTCAGTGCTAACGAGGCCAATTCAGTTAGGGTGGATGTGACCCATTCCCAACTGTTGACAAGGTGTGAGTATCAACAGAGGGAAAATTATTTTTTGTAGTGACCCAGCCACTCCCAGTCTTTATTCAGACCTAATTTGATGGTGTCAAGTTTGCAAATTAATTCCAATTCTGCAGTTTCTCATTGAAGTCTGTTTTTGAAGTTTTTTTTGTCGAAGAATGGCCACTTTTAACTCTGTTATTGAGTGTCCAAGGAGATTGAAGTGCTCTCCTACTGGTTTTTGAATGTTACAATTCTTGATGTCTGATTTGTGTCCATTTATTCTTTTGCCTAGAGACTGTCGGGTTTGGCCAATGTACATGGCAGAGGGGCATTGCTGGCACATGATGGCATATATCACATTGGTAGATGTGCAGGTGAACGAGCCCCTGATGGTGTGGCTGATGTGGTTAGGTCCTATGATGGTGTCCCTTGAATAGATATGCAGACAGAGTTGGCAACGGGGTTTGTTGCAAGGATAGGTTCCTGGGTTAGTGTTTCTGTAGTGTTCACTCCATGCATCTGATGAAGTGGGTTATAGCCCACAAAAGCTTATGCCCAAATAAATTTGTTAGTCTCTAAGGTGCCACAAGGAGCCCTACTAATGTGGTCCTGAACACGTCTTATGCCCAGATTGCCAGATGTGACAGTGTGAAGTGATATCTTTGCTATTGTGGTATGGATATGTGTATCAGTCTGAGCTGAAATCACTACTCATTTCATGCTATACAACAAAATGCATTACAGCTATAGCAATATCATCCTGGTGGTGGAGAGGGGGCTTTCTGGCTAGGTACCAAGTAACGGTTTTAACTGTCATTTTTAGTGGTATAGACCAGCTGGCTTTCTGAGCAGTTTCCTAGGGTTTTTGAGTAAATGAGAAACAAATTATGTGTTGTACCTCTTTCTTTGCTTACTTGGTAGATGACAATTTTTTCTTCGTGATCAAATTTCTTTGTTAGATTGCTTTGAGCAGAGTTGAGTCTTCATGGCAAATTTAGAAAGATTATTAAACAGTCTGGAACTGTAAGTTAAATAGTACCAAAAGGATTGATGATGGGAGGCCCTGAGAGTGAAGTATACAGATACATGAATGAGTGACAAGAGTTCTGGACTCTTTGTTTAGACCTGTGACATTTTTAATAAGATTATTCATTAGTTGGAAGAAAATTACTAGAACTTGAGTACTGCATCTAAATAGAAAAATTCTGATAGATTCATTATAGGAATGTAACTCTTGTGCACTGAATTATATTTAATGCTCTAGAATAGATTGAATCTTAGGCCTTGTGTACACTGGCACTGGTGTGAAAAAACACCCCACTGAGCGCAGCAAGTTTCAGCGCTGTAAAGCACCAGTGCAGACAGTGCACCAGTGCTGGGAGCCGCACCCCTCATGGAGGTGAGTTTTTTAGAGCCAGCGCTACGCCACGACCACACGCAGCGCTTTAACGTTGCCAGTGTAGACTAGCCTTTATAGAACCCTATGTAGCTGCCAGTATAGTAGGATCCACTTAATCGCCTCCCTGAGAAATGGCATACCTTTTTAATTGGGATGATTGCCAGGGAATGTATTCAATGTAGTGCACTTAATTAACTTGAAACAGTGGATAAATTGCACAACTGATGTATTTAAACAACACACATCTAGTTCTGCATGTAGCCTAGTCATGGTAAGTTATACTGGTGTTAGCTAACATAAATTTCCCACCATGCAGTCTTCAGTGTTTCTTCAGGCTTCCTCTCTGTTACTTAGTGTTACCTTAATAAATAAATAAATTTAAAATAAATAAATATATATATACACACACACACACACAACTAATATATATTAAGTATTTAATTGCTCTGCAGTATGCTTTTCTCTAAAGCACTTTGTGAAATTAAAATAATACTTCTCAGGGAAAAGTACTGTGTTTTGCTGAGAACCTGGATAGTGCTGATCCTGCTGTGAGTTTCCCCACTGATTTCGTTAGCAGGAACAGGATTGGCCACTATGCTATTTCTGTTATATTTTTTTTAATTCTATTCTTTTTTCTATAATAAAATAACCAATTAAAATCCTTCAGCAATCGCTGATTGTCTTATTTAAACTGGAGAAATGAGTTACGCTTGTCCATGTTAGGAATTTTTTTTCTAAACAAATGTTAGCTAGCATTTTATAGTCCTAGTGTAAGCAGGGCAAGTTGTAGTTTTAACATGGGTGAATGAAATTCATGGGAATACACCTACATAAGATCATATTCAAAAATATGTCAATACCTGATTGATGAGATGTACACAACTTTTATTTTACAGCCATATGCAGTTCTGTATTGCTTGAATTACTCTATATTTGCTTAATCTCTAGAGATATTATCTAAATGCGACAGAAACTTCAGAGAATTCAGAATGAAGCCAATCTATGAAGATGAAGTTCTGCAAAAGTTTATACCAGTGCTTCAACACGTTTGTTCCTATTTTACCTAGCAAGGAGTGATCAACTCAGTTAATGTCTATTCTAAAGTTTCTTACCAGTCATGATAAATCTCCAGCTGCATTTAATTCCAGTCCATGTTCAATATAAAGCAATTCTAACTGTGTTTAAGGGTGAATTGAACTCCTTTTAGTACATATACCGAGAGAAATGCACCTTACCCCATTTTAAAGCATTTTTATTTCTTCAAAGCACTGTATAGATATCTTCCTGATACCCTATAGTAACGTGACATAGTCTTAAATTGCCATATAGTCCACTTCCAAAACTAGGCGTTCAGGGTGTAGTTGTCATGACGCATGGATCTTGAACCTGGGTTTGCAGGAGCAGCCATGCTCCAACCCTCCACCTGGCAGCCTGACAACTGCTTGTCATGAAGACCAGTCCCAGTTTGAGGCTCTACTCCTGAGGTCCTATTAGTGGAGTCTCAGAGCAGCTGATTGTCCCACTGGCCCTACTTAAGCCAGCAGCAGGAACAGGAAGCTGTCTGAACAACTAGGCTCCTCCCTGTTCTGGACTGTGTGCCTTGTGCTTCCTGCTGCCCCAATTTGAGTTTCTGGCATCCTGACCCAGCATGACTCCTGGCATCTGATATGTGGTTCTGATCTCCAGTTTGTCTCCTGGCTGTGACTCCTGGTATTATGACCCAGCCTGACTCTGGTTCCCAACTCGGGGTCCTGATCTCAACTTTGTCTCCTGCTTCTGACCTCCCGGTATCCTGACTAAGCTGACTCTCGACTCCTGTCTCATGAGTGTGGACTCCCGCTCTGACCACCTGGTCTGGCTACCCACAACCTGGCCGTGACAGCTTATTTGGACCACAATAATGCTATGGGACTGAGCCCAGTGCGAGAAGTATGGCCCAGCAGCACCACCACAGTCACTGGATGCATCAAGTACTGCAGGCCCAAGTCGTGCAGCTCATCAGGGAGAAGTAGTGGCTGCAGAAGCAAGTGAGGCAGCTCAGTTTCAAGAATGCCATGCTGCGACCACCACTTGCAGTGCCTTGCCCTGAACAGGGGCCTGCAATATCCTTGCCTGAATGGTTCGTCGAGAGCCGCCAGTGGTTCAAGGGCTTCGTGAACCAGTACCACCTTCTGTTTCTGATGTGTCCCAATAGCTATGCCTCTGACTAGTCCAAGGTGGCCTTGGTAATCAGCCTGCCTACAAGAGACGCATTAGACTGGCCTCCCCTGCTGAAAGGCCATAGCCGGTGCTGTTGAACTGCAATGCCTTTCTCCAATCAATATCAATCAACTTTGACCCTTGCTGAGCTCGAGCAGCCAAGGGCACACTTCTGCCACCTCACAGCGGATACAGACTGGAATGAAGCAGCACAGCTCTGCCAGTTCTGGTGGTGCTTACAGAAAGAAATCAAAGACTAACTGGCTTGTGTAGAGATGCCTACGGGCCTAGATGCCCTTATGAATCTTGCCATCTGCATAGACTATCGGCTGCGAGACTGAAGGGAGGAGAAAAGAAGTTCCCTGTAATCCCTCTACCCACATACCATGACCTCATCTTCTGTATCACCTGGTGAACCTATACAAGCTGATACAACTTGTCAGCAGCTCACTCATGAAGAAAAAGAACAGTGCCATCAGCTCCACCTGTGCTCCTACTGCGGCAAACCTGGTCACGCGATCTCGGCCTTCCCAGTACAAACATGATGCAGCTTGGAGAAACAAGCCAGTCCAAGCACAGATGGGGGGAATCGGCCTGGTCCTTGAGAGAAGAGAATTTCCCTGTACTCTAGTCCTCTCTCTGAGAGATATCCCGAGCGCCATCCAGGGGCTTCCCATTTCCAGGTGCCTATTGAGCTGTCAATCCAGATTCCTTTCCAACAGGCCCTCATCAATTCAAGACCAGCGGACAATTTTATGGATGCAACTACAACAGAAGTTCATGCCAGACATGACTGAAACTATTGATGGCTCCCAGATGTCTTCAGGTCCAGTTGTGGAGAAGACTGTCCCCCTGGAGGTCTTTATTCATGGGCACAGAGAAATAATACAATTTGGTGTGATCCATTCCCTGCATTTTCCCCTGATCCTTGGCATCTCCTTAATGATCCCCCTCATTTGCTGGCAAGAATAGAAGGTCACTTTCCCATCAGAATTCTGTCAAAGGCTTAGCCAGGGACCAGTAAGTGTTGCAGCCAGGCCCAAGTAGGTTTAATCGCTCACATTGAAATGCCTACTGAAAGAACTATGGAGCTCCCCCAAGTACTGTGACTATGCTGATGTCTTTGAGTAGAAGAATGCAGAAAGCCTCCCCCCACATCAGGACTGTGATTGTCTCATAGAACTGCAGTCGGGTGAAGATTCCATTTGGATGAATATATGCAATGTCAGAGCCTGAACTGGCTGCGTTGCAAGAAAACCTGGCCTGGGAGTTCATCCGCAAGTCAACTTCACCAGCCAGTGCCTCAGTCCTTTTCGTAAAGAAGGACAGCATCCTCTGCCTCTGTCAGTTACCGAGCACTAAATCCGATAACTATCCAGATAGCTACCCATTACCTCTAATCCCTGAGTTGTTGAACCATGTGGGGGCCACCCATGTATTCATTTAACTGGATCTCTGGAGATCATAATACTTTATTCATATCTACTGTTCCCTCTGAATGCATGCTGTGTTGAAGTAGTTCTGTGGCTTGCATGGATTAAGTTTGGCAGTTCGTCTGCAGTTGGGGAGAGGGATAGCTCAGTGGTTTGAGCATTGGCCTGCTAAACCCAGGGTTGTGAGTTCAGTCCTTGAGGGGGCCACTTAGGGATCTGGGGCAAAATCAGTACTTGGTCCTGCTAGTGAAGGCAGGGGGCTGGACTCAATGACCTTTCAAGGTCCCTTCCAGTTCTAGGAGACAGGGTCCTTGGATGTACTACCAGAAGCAAGGGGGAAGCTGATAGCTAATGGCAATTGCAGATTTGTGGCTATCTAGTGTGTAGATGGATACTGGTGACTGAACTGAAAGAGGATGCATACATAGCTAATACTGAAGGAGGCTGGGCACACTTCCCACTGGTTGCTGGGATGTTAATAGAGTAGTTTTAACAGAAGCCCAGATCTTCAACAGTTGTACTAATCCTAGTTTGTCCTTGTACACTGGCAAACTTGGATGCCTAATTTATGCGAGTGCAAAAGCATGTGTACTTTTGTGCATCCTCTTCTGCAGATTTGGACCTGAATAAAGATGTTTACACTAGTATGTTAAACTCTTTTTATGAATGGATTTCCAAGTTTCAATATCCAGGTGTGAAGACTTAGATCCTATTCCTGGCTCTGCTGCTAGCCTGATGGGTGACCTTGAGCAAGGCACTTCACTTCTTTGGGCCTCAGTTTCCCCACTGTCAAAGGGCATAACAATACTGACCTTTGTAAAGCACTTTGAGATCTACTGGTGAAAAGTGCTAGATAAGAGCTAGGGATTATCATAATCATTTATTGTATTTATGTTCATTTCTTTCTTAACAGACTGTGGCCAGCTGTTAACCTCTGGACCATCTGCATTGCCAGATCAGCTGATGACTATAAGTCAGCCAGGTCAGCCACAGAGTGAGGGGCAACCTGCAGTGACAACGCTTCTGTCCCAGCAGATATCTGAGAATTCTCCACTACCTTCATCTATGACAACCAATCAGTGTATAGAGAAAATTGATGACTTGCTTGTGTCATTACAAAACCAGGGGAACAACATGGCTGGCTCATTTTAATTGGCCAAGTAAGTAGTGAATTTGGGTCTGTGGGTCTTCTTGCAATGATATTTAGTAAATTTTTATATATACCAAAGAGCCTCTTGTTTTAACAGATGATGACTTTGCAATGAAGTCACAGTGCATGCAGAAATCAGTTAATATATCTCTATGCCCCTGAAGCAAATTATAATTTCTAGTAGTCCAGAGTAGGGAGTATTGCTGTTCATCAAGAGATCAGAATCTGTAGAAAATAATTGATCAAGTTTGGGTTTTGTTCTTGAATTGCTATTCGTTGTTCTGTCACCTAGCATTGCAGTCTAATAATTCTAATGGCAAAGGTAAGGTGAATGGGTCACTTTCAGCTTGACCTGGCATCTCTGAGAACTGTCACCAAATCTGGCTTTAGTTAAAACTTTGGGTTTATTGTGGATGCATTAGACTCCACTTCAGTCTATAGCAGAGGTGGGCAAACTACGGCCCGCAGGCCACATCTGGCCCATGGGACTGTCCTGCCTGGCCCTTGAGCTCCCAGCCAGGAAGGCTAGCCCCTGGCCCCTCCCCTGCTGTCCTCCCTCCCCCGCAGCCAGCACTCTGGGCGGCAGAACTGCGCGCTGCTGCTGCTGAGCAGAGCGGCAGCGTGTCTAGCTCTGGCCGGGTGGCGCAGCTGCCAGACATGCTGCTCTAAGTGGCATGGTAAGAGGGCCAGGGCCGGGTGGTTGGATAAGGGGTGAGGGGTCCTGGGGGGCTTGTCAGGGGGTGAGGGTGTGGATAGGGGTCAGGGGACTGGAAACAGGGGGGTTGGATAGGTGTGGGGTCCCGGGGGTCCTGTCAGGGGGTGGGGGTGTGGATGGGGTCGGGGCAGTCGGGACTGGGAGCAGGGGGGTTGGATAGGGAATGGGGTCCTGGGGGGCCCTTAGGGGCAGGGGGTCCCGGGAGGGGGCAGTTAGGGGACAAGGGGCAGGGGGGGTTGAATGGGTCGGAGGTTCTGAGGGGGGCAGTCAGGGGGCGGGAAGTGAGAGGGGGTGGATAGGGGGCGGGGGCCAGGCTGTTTGGGGAGGCACAGCCTTCCCTGCCCGGCCCTCCATGCAGTTTTGCAACCCCAATGTGACCCTCGGGCCAAAAAGTTTGCTCACCCCGGTCTATAGTCTTCAAGCCCTTCCCATAGTGCTGAAGTGGTTTGCGTGAGAGCAAGGTGTTTGTTTATTGAAAAGGCACCACTTGCTGAATCATTGTTAGAACTGAGCCAATACAACAGCATGGAGCTAGGAAGTGTCTGTTGCTGGAAGGTGCCTTTTCCCCCCCCATCAGAGGTAAAGCTCTGCTCATGCATGAGCATTGAGTATATATGGGCTCTTCAATCCAGGTATAGCCACAGCATCTGACTATATCCACCTTATGTAATGATGTTCTGTCTCCCAAAAAAACCCTGAAGTTTCAATTGGGTGCTGTGCTCTTCACTTTCTGAGCTAAACTGTTTTGTAATGATGTTGTAAACTGGAAAATAGTTATCATATTCTGCCCCAAAGATGGCAGCATTTTGGCACTGGGTGTAGATTTTTCTGTAGTTTGTAAAGTGCTTTCAAATGAAGGAGATACATGAAAGATGAGACTTCACTAGTTATGCCTAACTCTGTTTTGTTTTTAATTTCAGAAATTCTGTGAAGGAAAAGATGATTTCCAAGATCCCCTCAGACCTTGTGGCTCTGGATTAGGGTTTATGGAGCTGAACTGTTCTGTTAAAGAATAGCTTATACCCAAGCAAATGTGTAGACTTCACTCTCTTTTTCTAAAGAGCACATATGCTGCCTACTGCAGTGTCTAGCAATTGAGGCTATAATGATAGCATTTGAGACTCCTGAAGCCAATAATGGCTGAAAAGCTGTGCTTTGTGTTACAGGGGGTGGAACTGGACGGTTACCACATTCCTAGGCCCCATTAGTCAATGGGCTGCTGTTTTAATTCAAAGCATGACTGCTCAGCTATTATTGTTAGAAAATAACATGTTATCATGTTTACTTTTTCTTTTCTTCCCTTTTTCCTTCACAACCCCTCTGTTGAGTGGGAAAGCTTGTGAAGCAGAACCATCATGTGCCCTAACTCGTGCTGTGATTCATGGCATAGCTGTCAGTCAGTGAAGGAATTGCAGTTGTTACAGTAGAGCTGAAGGACCATTGCAAGGGTGTGTTAATCGCAGCAGCAGGTGGTGGTGGTGATATATATAATATGCAATCAGAAAATCTGCTACAACTCTAGGAGCAGCCAGAGAGATGTGAGTGCTTCCCATCTGAGGGTGTGATTAACAGCTTTCTGTCTGTACTGATGGTTTTAGATATAAACTGCATAGAGTAAGAATTAGGTGGCTCTGTCAAAATGAAGGGAAAAGTCACAGTAAATTGTGTTCTAAAATCCTACCTTCTAAAATACCTTAATCTGAAGAGAGCAATCTGCCTAGCTGAGGAAACAACTGCTTAATACCGCTCACTATTTTGGCATAGATTAGAACTTGAACATTATCCTTTCTCATGCCAGGCTGCCCTCTTTCATTCTTTCCATGCTCTTCCCTCCCTCCCCCTAATTTTATATAGTTTGTTTCCTAAGCAAACACAAATATGCTTCCGGTTTTAGAAACTGAAGTAACTCTTAGGTGTCCAAGGCACCTCTCACTGTGGTAGCAAAATGCCAAGCCAGTGGCTGCATCTTTATACATCACCAGGGTTTGTGGGAGTGAGAAAATACTGGTTTTGTCTCCATCCCCCAGACTTCCTGAATCCTAGAGGAACCCTGCTTTTTCCTCTTGTTGCTGATTTAAAGTCTTAAACTTTATCCCAGATGGGGGCAAACAACATAATTTTTCATCGTTCTTTAAAACATCACTTCAAGCTGAGCTGCTGCATCTTTGTAGCTTTCTCAGTTCATTGCAGGTTTGAAGCATCCTTTTTACTAGCAGTCCCCATGAGTTGTAGCCTCTCTGGGGTCATACATTAATTAAAAACAATTTACTCATGTTTTACAGTAGCTAAGAATAACCCACTCCAGGCCATGCAGTTGTAGTGGGAGGAATGTGGATTCTTTCAGATGCTCCAACTAGTCTAAGAGAAATGTGGTGCCTCATTACAACCTCAGGCAGATGTTTTCTTCAGTCTTTTCCCTCTCCTGCATGTAGAAAGCTGTTAATGCAGGTTAGAGCCAAACAGCTGTCATGAGTGGCTTCTATGCTTTGGTGTAGCATAGTTGGTATGCTGTCACTTTTCATTTTGGTTATTTTAAATAATGGAGAGTAGCCTGTAAATGTTTTTTAAGTTACCCTAGTCTGTTTACTGCGTGTTTTTTCTAACTTGTGCACCTAGTTGAGCCATGTAGAGTTGTTCTTTGGTTTTAACGGTTTTTCCCGTGTGTCAATGTCATGATGTTCATTTTCTCTCTTTGTGTGTCTCTCTCTCATTGAGAGGCATTGAATTACGTTTTCAGTCGTAAGGCTTCTTGCCGATATGAAGGGAACTTTTCAGAAAGAGACCTGCTCTGGGTCATTTAATTTTGAATACAGTTTTCAATCGTTCAAGTTTTGGATGGTTTATATCTAATGTGTGTTTCATTTTTTTGGAAAGCTATATTTTGTATTTAGGATATGGTATACTATTTTGCTATTTGTACTGAGTGAGTACAATGGCATAAATATAAAAATTTATATATATACAAATATATATAATATTCTTTTTGCCACACATTTTTGTGGTAATTTGTGAGTTTGTCTGATGTTCTACCACAACGTGGCGTCTGATAATGGTGGGGGTGAGGGTGGGGTTTGTTATGTCTTTACTAAGTATTTAAGTACTTTTTGCAACATAAATAGTTTGTTCATCTTGGGCCATTCCATCTGGCAATGTGTTGTTCCAGTTGGCTCTGGACAACTTCAGTGTGTGTTTGTGTCTGTCACACAGCAGTGGGATGTAGTAAGGAAACCCATTTAGACAACTGTCTGATGGGATTTCATTCAGAATGAGCCATTCAGCTTTTACTCTGTCACTGTCTATTTAATATTTTATTAGCTCCTTTGTGTTGTATCTTTTAATTTATAATTACACTAAAATGTTTGAAATTATAATCATGTTAAAGAACATTTTCTCTCCTTCATAATGTCCAGAGCTGCTTTTTAACTCTGAACCATACGCTTTTCTGCCGATAATTTTTCTCCTGCTATGGAAAAAAGTAAAATAAAATCCTTTGTTATGGTTCAGGACATGAAAGAGCAGCCTGTCCGCACTGAATGAGCGCTGTATGAGGATGCATAGAAGGGTTCTGCACAGCGTCGGATTGAATACATCATCCGTTTGTAATCAGTTTGTAAGAAACTGGTGACTTCTGCAAGAGCAGCTTGTTCGGACGAGAATGTTTGGTGATATCTTGATGGCTGCGTAGGCTGACAGTGGGCAGAATGAGGTGATGGGGATGATAAACTGACTTGTGTGCTGTTTGTTTTGTTTTGTTCTTTTGAAGGAGAGCATCCTCATGATGAAACGTCGTTGGTCAGTGCCAAGAAACCAGGGACCAATTCTCCATTTAATAAGATTGGTGTCCAAAATAGAACCTTTTACCAGGACTGCTACAATTCCCATTGTGGGGGGAATGTTTAAATGTGTGCATATTTTTAGGTTGTTTATTACAAGGGCTGTGCTACCATATTCAAATGACTAAATAATGACATCTGTATTTTCTTTTGTGTCAAATTTACTGTGTCTGTTTTAGGTCAGTGTTAAATGTATAACATTTTGAACATGTGATTTGGTTACAAAAAGTATTTGTATTCTGAATGAAGGGTTTGCTCAGTGGTTGACAAGTGCTCTTGCTGCTGCTTTCAAACAGCTGTTACAGAGGATAAAGAGCGGTTCAATGAGCCAGCAAAGGCCTAGGAAACAGCTTACAGAAGTTGTTTTGTGGCAGAAGGACCCAAGTATAATGTGAACCACATCTTTGTTCCTTCAGAGCCCTGCTCATGCACTGTTTTGATTTCAATAGTTGACAATGACTTTTGGAGCTTATCCTTTGTTTTTTCTTTTACCCCCTGACTTATTTATTCCATAATATGTCTGCATCAGTATGGATATTAGAGGAAGAGCACACAAAGTGGATTGCCTATAGAGTTATTGAGAGGCAGGGGAATCAAGTCCAGACCAGTTTGGTTTGAAAAGTTAGAAATTACTTAAGGTAAATGAAAATATATGCATCTTGAGTAGTCAAAAAATGACATTAACTATTACCCCTTGCTTATGATAAACATTACTTAAGAAGCCAGATTGCCAAAGATCAAATGTTGGGGGCATTATTGCAAAAAAAAAAAAAAAAATTGCTTTCATATCTGTCAGGCCAGCGTTCACTAATGGACGTAGATGGTTTTATAGCTGTATATACTGGATGGAAGCTGGAAAGCTGTAGAACTATATTTGTAGGGTGGATTTTCTGTGTAGTGTTTCTTTTTCACAGAACCATAGTGTTATATGGGACCTCAAAGATCATCTAGTCTAACCCTCTGCCAAGATGCAGGATTTGTTATGACTAAACCACCTAAGACAGATGGCTATCCAGCCTCTTTTTGAAAACCTCCAGTGACGGAGGTTCCATGCTTCCCTAGGCAGTTTGTTCCATTGTCCTACTGTTCTTACAGTTAGGAAGATTCCTGAGCTTTTCTCCTGCATGAACTTTTTATTAAACCACCTTTAATCCAAAACAAACAATCTGTCTGTCTGTCTCTGTCTCAAACTAGGTTATATTCTCCAGCCGTAAGTCACTTATCCATTAACTTCCCTGATTCTCCTAAACCCCATTTTTCTGATGTTGTCTCTACAGCATGTCTGATACGTACTGTACACCTGTTTCCTAATAACTCACTAATATCCAGGGAGCTGCACCCTGCTAGCTACCACGGTCAGTATGTCTTCTACCTGTGTCATGTTGTCTCCATGTAAACAACACCAGTGTATAAAAATAAACTGTTAAACTATTATTATTCCTTTAGTGATGAATAAAGTAGGTGGATAACACTTAAGCTGTAGAAAAAGTTAAGACAAGTATTAGCCAAACATTTCCTATGGCAGGAGATGATCGTCATCACTTTCCACTTCACAGCTCAGTCCACTTGGTGGCACTAATTGTCTTCTACTCTTTCAATGGTTATCCAAGCCAAATGCTCTACTATTATTTCCTTTGTCAACAAAAACAATTCAAGAAGTCGTTTCAGCCTTGCTGGGCCAAAATAGACAGTTAACCACCAGACCTTTTGTTTGGCTAATTTTACATTATTATCAGTGTGCTCAGAGCCTGTGAATGGATGCTTTTTATTTATACTCAATTGAAATAAAAAATAAATAGGTTAGTGTCTGTCAATCTTGACAGCATCCCTTTTTATGCTTACACCGAGGGCATGTTCAGTTGCACCGATGCACATTTCTCTAATCTACATAAGCTTTGAGTTTTCCAGTGCTCCTGCTATGACTTTGATTAGAGCACACTGACCAAAAAGAAGTGTCATTCTGTTGCTCTGGTAAGATTTTTCATTCTCCGAGATTGTCCTTCCAAAGCCTTCAGAAAGGACAAACCACACAGGAGCTCAAATCCCTTCTCTGACATAGCCAAAACAACCATATGAGCAGCAGGAAAGATGCTTTGTTATAAAATTTCTTCATTGGAATAAAGAAATTAAACAGCCAAAAAGGTCAAACTTTTATAAATTATAAAAGCAAGAGAAACAAGATGGATGAGATCATCTTTTATTGGACCAACTTCTGTTGGTGAGAGAAACAAGCTTTTCAGCTACAAAGAGCTGCTCTTCAGATCTGGGAAAGGTACTCAGTGTCACTGTTAAAAACAAGGTCAAACATAGTTTAGTGTAAGTAGTTATCATATAGTCTAAGGGGCCATTGAAGGTGAAGGGGCCCGTTAACACCCCTGTAGTCGTAGCACAAAAAGGGGTGTTAGTGGGTTACAGATTGTTGTTATAAGCCATAAATCCAGTTTCTCTATTAAGACCAGGATTTTTAGTGTCCATTAAAAGTTACGTATTTAAGCTCCCAGGCTCATCTTTTGAAAATGTGCAGATTTCCTTTGAGGATGAGGACTGGTAGGCCTGGGAGCTTAAATTCATAACTTTGATGAATGTTAATGGGCCACTTCACCTTGAATGGTCCCTTGTACTACTTATGCTAAACTATCTGCTCAACCTTGTATTTAGCGGTGAGTACCCTTCCCAGATCTGAGGGAGAGCTCTGTGTAGCTCAAAAGCTTGTCTCTCCAACTGAAGTTGGTCCAGTAAAAGATGTTACTCAGCCACCTTGTCTCTCTAATATCCTGGGACTAATATGGCTACAACAACACAAGAAGAGAGAAATTTAATTACAGAATTTTATTTTCAGTTGCATCTCACACATTGCTCTGTTACTTAACAATTATCAGGCTGTCTATTCAAATTATGTACCCATTTGCAGAGCTCTGTCTATACAAGTATTTATCTGAACCGTGGAAGCATCAAGCATGGTGAGGAATTGCTTAGTGTTCTCTGAACTTAGAACTATAGGTTGAAAGTGAGAAAAGGGAAATTTAATCTGACCATTGGGAGAGAAAAGAATTCTCCCAGTGAGAGATCTGTTTCTGTGGAATAGTCTTGCAAAGAGGGTGGTGAAAGACCCATTATTTGAGATGTTTTAAAAGCTAGCTGGATTGATAGTCAAGAGCATATTGTAAGGCTCTTGAGTGTAGAATTTTGATGAGTCTTTCGGGACAGATCTTGACAATTCTACATACAAAAATATTCAGACTTGCAGTTCTGGTAATGGTGTGTGCAAACAGCCAGTTGTGTGTGCAAATGTACACATTTGTGTACAAATAGTTGCCTACTAAAAGCCAGACTTCATGAACTCTTATTTGATATGTGATATACACTACTTAGAGACAATAAAAGATACGACACAGCAGAGAAAATCTGGTAAAAATGTACATATAAAATTCTCCAATTTAGTCTGTGCTTTTGAGAGAGAATGTAGAAAAGTCTTTTTTCCCTTATATAATTTCGTGTATATATGTAAATATACTGTGCATAAAAATCCTTGCCTTGTACATATGTATATAGTTGAAATCAAATTATATGCCGGAGAGACAAGGTGGGTAAGGGAATATCTTTTATTGGACTAACGTCTGTTGTTGGACAATAAAAGAAGAAGCTGGTCCAATAAAGGATACTCCCTCACCCACCTTGTGTGTCTCATATATCCTGGGACCAACATGCCTACAACAACACTGCAGACCGTCACTGTACCATTGAGTTTATTATATAAATGCATAAAAACTGTTCTAGTAACATTTTTATAACTTTCAAAGAACATAATTGTCCTTAGTGTGCCCTTGTTTCTCTAATTCTCTTCAGTAGTCAGTAATAGCTGTATAAATGTGTAAATACTGTATGAGTGTGGAGGGATTAGTAGTGTTATAATAAGTATTATTCCAGAAACGTGCTTTTCAGCAATTCACTAAAATCTATGGGATTAAGGTGAAATGACTGTTTGAAACATCCCTGTGCTTTTCTGTTTTTCTATAGAGATTTATTAACATTTAGTGAATTTGATGTTTTGTGAAACGTGGGAACCAACAGCCCAGGAAATCGCAGTCCCCTGGATGGGTTCAGCAAGGGCAGCAGCAGTACATGTTTCCCACACACTTCTCTTTGCCAGTTTGCCTCACTCCTTTTCAGGAGGGACCACTTCTCAGGACTCAGTTTCCCACGCCTCTCAGCAGAGGCGACCAGAAAGTGCCAAGGACACACTGGTGCGGTTTGTGGTAGGGACTAGCTAGGGAGCTGGACTGATCACAGTAATCCACTTTCAACAGGGGTCACCAAACGTCTGTCAAATGGCAAAGATTTTTAGCCCACTACTGGGCTGGGCTTAAACCAAGGACCTGGACCTAGCTGTGTAGCTCCTTCCTATTCCACTTTTTCTGATTTTTTTGCACCTAAGGAAAGGTGATGATAAAACAAGGGCGGCTGAATTTTGTTATAAGGTTTTAACCAATAAGGTTTGTTCATTGAAGCAATCTGACTAGTGGGATCCAGCCGTGTGGGGAGCACTGGACTTGCCAGTACTTAGGACGAGGTTAAACTCGTAACAGGAATATCAGTTCTTGACAGAAATGAAGAGCAATATATTTTGCTCCCACAGCTTTTCCGGACACATTCTAATTTGACAATCGATTAATCCCCAGACATTATGATTCTGGCATATTTGATTCAAACCACCTCTGCTAGCTCCCTTGCAGTGCCCAAGACCAATGCCCTGACTTCCCTCTTCTCCCTCAATGCTGAGAACTTACCTGGTCCTGACCTTCCTCCTGCTGTGGGAAACACTCCCTTCCGCGGTTGTGCTCCTCCAGGCTGGGAAATTGTCCCAGAAAATGCACCCCTCATTCAAACCACCGTAAGCATATCAATGCTCTTCCTTCCAGCTGCTGAATTCTCATTCATCCTCCCTTTACAAGTGCTTGGTTCAGATGCCTAACAGCTGTGAAACCCAGCCACAACTCAGATGCTTGTTCTGGTCTCCAAGCCATTAGAGGGACAGATTCTCAGCTGGTGTAAAATGGCATAGCATCATTGAAGTCCCTGCAGCCACACCAATTTACAGTAGCTTAGGGTCTGGTACAGTGCTCACTTCCTGCGTGTGCTCCATCTAGGCAGGAGGTAGTATTCTGAACAGGTTAGTCCCATGTGGTGTTCGCCCCATTTCTGGATGTTATGGGATTGGGATCACGCCCCTGTGTCCTGCTAAAAAGACCATTACCAACCCGAAACTTTTCTGTGCTGATTGCTATTTGATATAAACAGCTTTTGAGGTTTGTCCCCATACAGCTCCCTGTTTTTAATGGGTAAGCTCCAAACAGCTTCAAATTAGAGCCTTCTACCTCTTTTGTTAATCTCTGCATAAGCCCGACATGCTTGTGTCAATAATTCTTTCTGGAGTGGTTTATCTGCCTTTCTGCCATGTTTTTGTTGGAGTGCACAGATCACCACTGAGCTATCTTTTCTGTTGTCCTGCAATGTGAAAGTAGCACCAGATATTCCTTTGTGCATTTCTGTGTATATGGCTTTCGTAGTTGGGATCTTCAGAGCACTGATACCAGATGTTTTCAGTTTATTCTATGAGGGGAGATTTCATTTGCATCTATGTTTTTAGCTATCCTGTGATAACTTGTTGAATATTAAAATAAAAATAAATATTTTGCTTCTATTGGGACATTTGTATACTCGCAACTATATTTCTGTAAACAGCTGCAGTCAAGAATAAAACATTGAAAGTTTTCATTTTGCAGCGTGAACTCCTGTCATGTTCTTTCAAAGGCAGCTTCTCTCGCGCCCCCGGAAACAAGCAGCTACTGTAAGTACTTAATCAATGTGGCTGGCTGGTGATGGTAGCCTTATGGCTTGGAGCTAACCCAGGGGAGACTGAGTCCAGGCTGATATCCTGCTCAGGCACACTTGTAGGAATTGTTAGATAAGCAGATACTCTTTGCAGCCCGCGCAGCTTTC